TAATACTTGTAAAGTGCTTAGAACAATGCCCACAATTATACTGATTCAGCAGTTTAGAGATAAGAGCACCCTATCTCTGAAGAGACAGGACTGGGCTCAAATCTTATCCCTGATAAGCACAAGTCCTCTGATCATAAGCGGGAAATGTAACCTCTCTAAGCCTCAATGCCTCATTTCCAGCATGTAGATCCTAATACTTATTCCACAGAGTTGTAAGAATTCAAGGAAGTTATGTGAAGCATTTAGAGTACCCAGCTCATCATATTCGTTCACAAATATTAACAAGTATCAACAAATTTTGTTAATAGGCATATGTTTAGGTAAAGAAAAAATGTACATGTTTTGAATGTATCATCTTTATTTACTACAGTCAAAATTCCAATATACTGATCTGCCACTCTCACTAAGTGATCTGTTTTTCACATTTATGACAACACAGAGGAAACTACCCATGCTTCTACAGAGAAGAATTAAATATTGCTGAGTGGATTAATGACTCAGCCTCATTAAGCAACTTTATTACTGAACTAGCTAATGTGAACCACATGTAAAACGTGCTGAAAGTGATCAACTCCTATAAATTCAGCATAAGCATTTTTATCCGATTGGGATTTCTTAGTAGAGACCACATTTCAACAGGTTTTATAAACTTTTATACATTAGGAACCAAAGTCAGTGGGTAAACACATTTTTACATGTTTCATTCTAATTTCTAAATGGCAAAGCAAGTCATAGAAAAGGCAATCTCCCTGGGGAAAATTATGAATAGATTTTTTAGTGCTTATCACTCACATGCTGGCTCCACCATTAAACCCTCAGTCCCTTAAGGGCAGGGCCATGCAAAATGCATCTTTATGCCCCCTGCACCAAGCATAGTACTCAGCATTTTGGTCAACTAAAATTCACTGACCAGAGCTTGTGGAGAGATGCCCAGAAGAACTGGACGGCAAGGCAGAACACAGCTCAGTGTAGGACCCAGTCACAATCTCAAAGGGACACAAAAGGTATCTCCCAATGAGCTACCCAAGGAAGCACAGGGCTGAGCTTATTACAAGGACCTTGGAAAGAGGGATGTCACACATGGCTTTTCCATCAATGCAAGGAGCAGAGGGACATAAGTATTAAGAAAAGCTGCACTGGGGCCAGGGATTTAGCTCAGTGGTTCTGCCGCCTGCCTTGCAAGCGGAAGGACCCGAGTTCAATCCCCGGTACAAAAAAAAAAACCCAAAGAAAAGCTGCACTGAAGAACACAGTTATTGGTTGCACAGGGCAAAGTCTGGAATTCTATTCACCAAATCATTCGAGGTTTTGTGTATATTTGGTAAGGTGATAAGATAAAAGGTTATTTCTCTTTTGTTCATTTCTATTTTCTACTTTTCCCACAAAGAGCTTGTATTTCTATAATAATTCATTGTTCTCTGTGACCTTTCGTTCCACTCACTGAAATGTCTTTTCATTTTGATAACCCTCCCTGGCCACTTCTGAAAAGGGAATATTCCTTTGCAAATACACACTTTTTGGTAGCTGAGTAGCTTTGAGATTCTTCTTTCTTCCCCCTGGAAGCTGAAGGCCTAGAAGCATAGATGATAGATATAGATATAAATATAGATATGGGTATATCTTCAATAGTTTAGTCTGGGCTGGTGCTACTTTTGCTAATACAAATCTCTCCAAAAAATTAAGGGTTTTTATTTAAATTAACTTTATATATTAAAAGTTAATGACAATTGTTGATGAGAATTATGAGTTCTTTGGGCACAGCACAGTACATTCAAAGCTTTCTAAAAGCTCAAGAGTTGTACCTTAATTTTTTAGAGTCCTTGATAACGTGATGGCCATCTCCTTCACGGGGTCCTTACCTAGCTTGAGTTTATCTTTCTTCTGCAGAGCTTTGCTGAAAGTTGCAAAAAGGAACCCTGAAGTTGTGATTTTTTTTTCTGTTTTTCCTCCAACATATGTTACAAAGTTGGCACTCGGTCAGTGTCTCAAATGACAACAGGCAAAAGTTTGACGAAATAGTTTACCAGGGCATAACAAAGGTTATCAGCTTCCCAGTGGGACACAGTTGGGTCCGTACTATCCAACACCCCTTCTCTTCTATTTAGCCAATTTTGATTTGGGAGAATTTTAGAAAGGAACACATCAGATACCAAATTTGTATCAATCATGATTCTGAGTTGGAAACAACAGAAACTAATTCCTGCAAGATTGGGGCGGGGGCTAATAACAGGTATTGTGTAGCTCACAGATTCCCCGGAGGACCAAAGAACCATTCTTAGAGGCTGCACAGCTAACTACAAGGTAGACATCTCTGCAGACTGTGTCAGGCCACAAATTGTCACATCACAGATTATCACACCACTCCCACCGCTGTCCTCACTACCACCATTCAGCTATGGAGATTTTTATTTACTTGCTAGAGCAATTAGTATCATTCATCCTAATACTTCTACTTGCTAAAAGACTTTTTAAACATGAAGACATTTTGAGTTTTTAATCAAAATTGTTCTCTTCCTTTATTGAGACTATTTAATTTGCTCCATGGTCTTACTAATTTTTTAAAACTAAAGCATCATAGTACACTTAAACTCAACAGTCATAATACATAATCTTTTCAGATTGTTGGACTATGTTTGACACATTGGCCCATAATTCTCAGAAAGAACTATGTCAATATTATGTAAATTGAACTTCTGGGCAAAGAAAATTACTAGAGACAAAAGATATTATACGTCAATAAAAGAAGTAGTGGGGCTTGGGATTTGGCTCAGTGGTTTCCCTGCCTGCTGCGCAAGCGCAAGTACCCAAGTTCGATCCCCAGTACCAAAAAATAAATAAAAATAAAAGAAGTAGTCAAACAAGAAGACAACAATCTTACACCAAAATATACAGCTTCAAAATATCTAAGTAAAAAACTGATGGAGCAGAAAAGAGAAAGAGACAAATTCACATTGTAGTTGGAAATTCCAGCAACCACAAAAAGGCAGTATGAGAAAAGACAATTACAGACTAGCATTCTTATGAACATAGATTCTCAACAAAATATTAGCAAATCAAACCTAGGACTATATAAAAAGAATAATATATTAGAACCAATGGGGTTTATTTATACATGCAAGATGGTTTCAATATCTGAAAATCAGTCAGTGCAATCCTCCATAGTAATAACGGTCCACAGAAGAAAACCCAGACGATCATACCAACTGATGCTATAAAGTAAAACTTCATAATAAAAATAAAATACTCAGCAGCCCAGGAATAGATGGGAACTTTCTCTACCCAATAAAGAACTAGAAGCCAAGCATGATGGTACACACCTGTAATCAATCCCAGCACTCATGAGGAAGAGGCAGGAAGATTCCCATGAGTTCAAGGCCAGCCTAGGCTACATCGTGAGTTCAAGTCCAGCCTGAACTGCATAGCAAGACCCTGTCTCAAAAATAAAAAGAACTAGAAGAACTGTACAACTAAATCATACTTAATGGTGAAAGACTGAATACTTTTACTCCCCAAATTGGGAAAAGGCAAGGCTGCCCACTTTTAGTCAATATAGTTCTAGAAATCATAGCCAGGGCAAGCAGACAGGAAAAGGCAGTAAAGTTATAGAGATTCAAAAGGAAAAAAATAAAATTATACATATTCACAGATAACATGATTGCCTATTCAGAAAATCCAAAGAAATCTTAAAAAAAAAAAAACTCATAGGACAAACCAATGAGTTTAGCAAGGTCGCAAACATGAAACCAACACACTGAAAAGTCATGTTTCTTTATACCAGCAGTAAAAAATTAGAAACAGGCTCTATAATTTTATATGCACAGGCTGACAGTTTTGTCTTTACCAGCTACATAGATTTGTGGAAATTCCTTAAACACTTTGAACTTTGGATTCCAGCTCTGGAAAATGGAGCTAAAACCACATTTCAGAGTTTCCACAGACTCCTAGGATAAAGCACATAGGAACACTGTCCCATAGTTTGAGTTGGTTGGGTACAGTCAAAGCACTCATTACAGTTCATTCCACAGCATCCTCTGCTCAGGACCCCTCCTCTCATGGACCTCCCTGACTTTGTGCCTTTCCTGCCTCAGCATCTTATGTGACACATAGCATTATTGTATTTTATTGCTTTCTTGCTCTTCATTCCCATTGTGCTTAATTTCATTTATGGATGGATAAATGAAATTCTTTGGACTCTTGGACTCTCGTGCATGTGCGCATGTGTGTGTATTACTGGGGATTGAACCCAAGACCTTCACAGTGAACTATAAATATATCCCCTAGCCCTTTTTTCATTTTGCAACAGGGCCTCACTAAGTCATTAAGTTGTTCAGGCTGAGCTTAAACTTGCCATCCTCCTGCCTCAGCCTCCAACACCTGGCTCAATCTTTGACTTACCAGTTGGGTTTTTTCATCAGCCCTTCTCACCACTAGGAAGATGTCAGTTTTGTGTGTCAGTCTGCACAGGCCTCACTTCTTGAGCTATGCCCTTGCTTGAAGCCCTTAGACTTACTACCGCCCTCTGAAATGACCTTCACCAGCTTCATCTCCTGTGAGAAACTTGCCCTGTGGGTCAGGTCTGTGTGTCAGTCAGCTTTCTGTTACTGAAACAAATACCTGAGACAATTACCTTGTGAAGAAAAAGGGTTCATTTTGGCTCACAGTTCTGGAGGTTTCCGTCCACAACTGGCTCACCCTGTTACTTTGGGCCTCTGGCAAGGCAGCACATCATAGGAGAAATGCACAGCAGAGCAAAGCCACTCACTTCACAGTTGGGGAGCAATGTGAGGAAGAGGAGAGCCCCATAATCTCCTTCAAGGGCTGAAGCCCCCGCCAGGGCCCTGAAGACCTGCCTCCCAAAGTTCCCACCACTTCTCAACAGCACCTCACTGTAGACCAAGCCCTTAACATGAGTCTTTAAGGGACTTATGAGATCCAAACTATAGCAGTTTAATCTAAATTAATAAAACAAATAAGTTTAAGCAATGAATTAAATCACTTGGTCAGCTTTACATAGTCAACAAATTTTATTGAGCACCTATTGCCTGCCAACACTAAAGATACACTGTTGACCCAAATAGGAACAAGTCCTGATCTCATGGGTTTAGTAGAGACAGATTGCTGTTAAATCACTAATTTTTTTAATTTATTTATTTCTTTATTTATTTATTGGTACCAGGGATCTAACTCAGGTCCTTCCACTTATGAGGCAGGTGGCAAAACCACTGAGCTAAATCCCCAGCCCTAAATCACTAATTATAAGGAGATAATTACAGAACTGTGCTTTGAAGGGCAGGGTTTACATTAAAATGTCTGAAATCAGTCATACAAATTTCTACTACAAAAAGGTGACAAAGATGTGGAAGTATAACCAAGGCTCTTTTAGTCTTTGGTACCTGAAAATATGTTGATGATACAGGTGAGCACACTTTTGTAGAACCTGCTTTCTGACATAGCTTCCACCACATTCAGTGGGCTGCACCTGTCAACACAAGGTCTGGGACCATGCTGCAGTGTGCATGTGCCTCCCCTTCCACTGAACTCAGGAGCCACTGGATCACTGGTGTACTTCTTCCACTTAATTCTTTGCACCAAATGAGAGTGCAAATCCAAAGCTCCCTCTAGTCAATCTTAGAGAACAGTGTATACTCATCCCACAGAGTACCAGGAGCAACATAAAATACTACAAATGAGAAGATGAAACAGACTGACTCCGAGTCCCATGAGCTCTGAACAGATGAGGCAGGGAGGCCTGGGCCTGGTGTCCTCACCAACCAAGCAACAGAGTGACACAGTAGTGCTGTGGGCAATGGCAGGCAGAGACCTGGGGAAGAGAAGTGGACAATACAGGTGGAAAGTGCAGAAGGGACTCGGTTCACATATGAAACAACACAGTTCAGGAGGACAGAGTGGATATGCTCCCTCTGTACTTCTCCTGCTGACAGAGCTGAAGTCACAGGGTGCAGATTCAAGCTAGAAACTTTCTACAGACTCAGTGGGATGGGGCACTTCATCAAACAGTGAGCTTTCCACCACTGAACATACTCAACTTCAGGAACACTGATCAGGGGTGGTGCAGACAGGGCCCCTGAATTCCAGTGCTCCTCTCTGGACTGGGGTGTAGAGGCATTTGAGCAGCTTGTCCAGCAATGTTCAATGGGTTTGTGGCGAGGAGGACAACTACTTCCATCAGCTGATGCTGAGTGTGCTTTCAGGCTTGGGAGCAGACCTCAGTGTGCCAACTCAGAAGGGGCCAAAGGGAGGAAAAAAGATGAGGAGTTTGCTGACTTGTGGCTTTGCTCAGAACATAAATATCCAGGTGGAAATGGCCCTCAAGGAATACAGTCCTAAGTCCAGGCCCTTGAGCCCAAACCTATTCCTACCATGTACAAGGAAGACAGGAACACCTTATACCATCAAGATCAATGGGCAGAGACCCCCTTCCTCAGCACAAAGGGGCTGGAAAGATCCTAAGGATTCTAAGAAAATGGCCAAATAAAAACCCATACTTGGTTAAGTCGTCCCAGTGAGCTTCATTCAAAACTTCATCTGAAGCTAGTGCATACCTGTAGTCTCAGCTACTAGAGACGCTGAGGCAGGAGGGTCACTTGAGCCCAGGAGTCCAAGGCTAGAACCCAACATAGTGAGATTTCACCTCACACACACAAAAAATCTCATCTGACCACAATTGATCAAAAATTCAAATTTGTATGGGAGCCCCTCTGGGTGGGGCACAGCATTCAGTGCTGAGGCCTTGGAATTGCTCCTCTGGCATGACCAGTGCAAACCTGAGTGAGGAGTCAGAAGAACTGGATGAGAGGATGCTTACTTCCAAAGGAAAAGAACTGCTCTGGTTCAAAGACCACATTCTATGGAACCAAGCTTCAGAGCTGTGTAACAGTAGAAATCACTGGAAAAGAGAAACTTTAATGCATTCCGGATAAAAAATATTTTAGGAGACAAGATCCTGGCATTTCTCAGAAGCAGGTAAGTCATGGTGTTCTACATTCTCTTTCAACACAGAGAACACTTGAGACCCCACGGACAGGAAACATGGAGAAGATGAATCCAAGGATCTATGTATCAAGTACACACCGAAGTTCACCTGTGCACAGAACAAGAGCAAAACCAGAAAGGTGAGATTATTTCAGTGGTTAAAAATAAAATAATAATGACACCTAAAGTCAAGTCAGGTCCTTAAAATTATGTATGGAACATGTAAGTTACCAGGTTTAAATTACTCAGAAGGTCATATCTGTTACATAGGAGAAGGCAGTGGACAGGAGGAGAATTCTAATTTCAGGACCTAAAGAGTCTCCCTCCAAGGTTTGTTTTCCCTGCAGTGGCCCCACACCTCTTTCTTACTGGCCACACTCTCTTCACCTCCTTCCCATAGGCCCTGAGCTTCATGCAGGAGCACCTCTTCCTGTTCTTACCCTCTGACTACTGCCAATCTAATTTTTTCTCTGTTCTCTAATGTAAAAGCCATCTGAGAAAGACAATGGAAAATTCCTGTACTTTCCTAGAGAATGAATGAGTTAAATTCTTCAAATTCTCCAGAATAAAAATAGAAGATCTAAAATGAAGAATTTTATAAGTCTGTTCAATGTCTGCCAACAATGCAAGAGGATCATCAAGAACCCTTGGGAGGACATGAGGTTGATCCAGATTTGTTAGTCCCTGTGATAACATCTTCAGATGGCCTGTGTTCCAGGCCCCAGGCTGGGGCTGAGTTAATTCCTTAGGATCTGTGCCCATGTGGGTAAAGAGGGCACAGGGTTCAAATATTTTAAAATAAAAGGTTTGTGCCCATAAGAATTAAAACAATGCTGAGAAATGGTACGTCCACGCCCCATGGTAACTGTGTCCACCAGCCCTTCTCCAAGCAACCTGCACAGGGCAGGTTCAAAGTCCCTCAGCCCTGTTGATGTGGCCTGCAGTGACTGGGCAGACATGCTGCTGTAGCCCTGGAATGTAGCACCTCCTAAGACGCTATGTATCCCATAACTGTAAGGACATGTGTATAAATCAAATACTGTGAACAAAACCCTTCCCTTTTTTCAGTGCTAGGAATTGAACCCAGGGCCTCATGCATGCTAAGCAAGAACTCTACCATTGAGCTGCAACCCCAGCCCTGAAACCTGCTTTTGAAGAAACACAGGCAATGGTGTAGAACATCTGACCATGAATTAACCTGCCAATTCATTCTTGGACAAAGATTAAATGTTTGCATTATTTCTGTTAATTTCTGAGAAATTTTTAATGCAACCTGACTGCTTACTTGGTTTCCTTCAATTCTTCACAAACAAAAAGTCCTAACTGAAAATGTAAGGCTGAAAATAAATGTTTCTAAACAATCACTATAAATGTTTAGTATTTATAATCTGGAAAACGTAATAAATTTAGTCACTTTAAGCTTTGACAAGATGAACTGACAGGCTTAGTATAATGCAATTTAAGGAATTTTTCTACACAGCTACTCTATCACAGTGAGCCATTTTACTCTTATAAAACCCTGGCAGTGAAGAAAATAAGCAAGACAACAGAATTACTTTATTTTTTATACTCCTTATATCTTTAACAAGATTTGACAGCATAAAAAACCATGTAATAAAACAAACACCCCACCCCCCAAAAAGGAGAAATTGAATGGAAAGTAAAGTAAAATGGAGCCACAGACAAAATAAGACCTTAAATGGTGGCACACTGGCTTTGGAACGTGCAACAAACTCCTCACTGCTAGAATAGTGCTGCTATTAAAGTAGTTCTGTCGCTATCACATCCAGATCTTAAAACAGGATGTCTGATTTTGCAAACATGCTTACCTTTCTCTTGCGACTCTCGGAGAGTTTTTGGAAAACGTCTTGGTTTCGTTGCCCAGTCTGCTGGTTGATACAAATCATCTGGCATCTGTGACAAGGCCCCTGAACCTGCCACAAAAATGATCAGAACTTGGCATTTTGCAGGGAGGACTCACACAGAAAACTAGAGAAAGCCAAAAAGTGGCCTCTGAGAGGAAGGAATTAGCTGCATGGTTTGTCTTCTGAAAAGTTGCTGCTTAAGGGCTGCACAGAAAAAGGAAAGAGCGTCTCGACTGTTCTCAGGGAATGCTGGGGACTCTGTGGAAGGAAAGGACTCAGTGACGCAGAGGTCGAATGGGGAGAGAAGAAACTGTGCATGAGCCAGCACTGGGCCATGACGAGAAAGTAATCGAAAGCTTTCACGTGGCCAGGTCCTTTGACTGACAACTTCACTTCTAGGGATTGAATCTAAGAAAGGAACTAGCCAGCAGTACCAACAGAGTCATGTGTGAGGATTTGTCCTTACAGTGTTGACAGTGAGGAAAACTTGAGAAAACTTGGCAACATCTTAGACATTATATAGTAGAAAAGAATGATTAACCAAACCATGCTACAGCTATATGATATATATCTTATAGGCATTAAAAATAATCTATTAAGGCTGCTATCATGAAATCAACCAATAACAAATGCTGGCGGGGCTGTGGGGAAAGAGGAGCCCTGCTCCACTGCTGGTGGGAGTGTAGACTGGGGCAACCACTGTGGAAATCAGTATGGAGATACCTCAAAGAACTAGGACTGGAAATCCCATTTGACCCCGCTATTCCACTGCTGGGGATCTTCCCCAAAGAATTAAAAGAATCATACCACAGTGATATACGTGCACCCATGTTCATAGCAGCGCAGTTTGTAATAGTTAAAACTTGGAAACAGCCCAAATGCCCATCAACTGGAGACTGGATAAAGAAAATGTGGGGTTTTTTTATAAAATGGAGTACTACTCAGCCATAAAAAATGAGAAATTAGAGACATTTATAGCTAAGTGGATGCACATTGAGGCAATACTCTTAAGTGAAATAAATAGGACACACATGTGTAAATACCGAACAGTTTCTCTGGTGTGAGAAACTGAAAGTGTAAATAAGGACTAAATGTATAATAGGTAATGTGAAATAGGAAGAAAAGGGGCAAAGGGGAAGGAAGTGGGAGGGCTAAGGGAAAGGATAGAAGGGAATAGGATTAATATGAGAAAATGGAAAAATAGGAACAAAATCTTTGTAAATAGGGAGGGCTGGAGGGGTTGAAGGGAGGGCTGGGCAAAGGTGAAAAATAAGAACCAAGAGAGACTATGTAAAGGTGCAAATTTCCACTGATGAACGTCATTATATTGTATACCTAAAATGTACCAATGATTAGAATGAATAATCGATAATGTAAAATAGGAAGAAAAGGTCCAAAGGGGTAGGGGTAGTGGGAGGGACAGGGGAAAGGAAAGAAGGGAAAGGAAAAATGATGAGAAATGGAAAAAATAGAAATAAAGTCTTTGTAAATAGGGAAGGGTGGAGGGGGTGAAGGGAGGGCTAGGAATGGGAAAAAAATAAGAACCAAGATGCATTATATAAAGGTACAATTCCCAATGAGAAATGTAATTGTGTTGTATACCTACAATGTACCAATAAAAGAATTTAATACAAAAAAAATAATCTATTAAGACCTGTAAATAAAATTAAGAGATATTTATTTTTAAAATTAAAATGAGCAGAAAGTACAATTTTTATTAGTGTGTATTTTTAAAGCATAGATAGACCACACACACACACAACACATAAAACAAAATATTCAACTGTTTAACACAGGTCATACTAGATGGTAGAACTTCTAAAACTGCTGATTTATCATGAGATTTTATTGCCTTTAGAACAAGAATGTCCCCCACAAATGTTAATATAAAAAGAAAAGTTACAGCAGTAAGGAGATAATTATTTTATTGCACACATAAAAGATACAAAAGTATTTGTTCATCAGGGGCTCACTATGCTGTCCAGGCTGCCCTTAAACTCCTGGGCTCAAGTGACCCTCCCAAGTAGCTGGGAACCACAAGCACAGCACATCCAGCAAATGGTTTTCTTATCACCATTTTCTCCTTGCTCGTTTGCTCACTCATGGACAAATACAAATTACGTACTGAAATTAGAAACACTAATCTGGATATGCTTCGGTCTGTTCCTATCACTCACATTCTGATCTCCAAAACAAGTAGAAACTTAATCTCTCTGTGGTAACAAAGTCAAGATTTCTAGGCCATGAAAGCAGCCGGTGTATGCTGTAATGGAATTCTGCCCCGTGCTCGGCTGTGACACTCAGCAGACCTATGACCTCTTCAAGCCTCATTTCCGAATCTAGCAGCCTAGCTGGATTTAACAAGGATTCCAGACACTATTTCTGGGATGCCAAGCCCAGGCCTGGCATTCAGTCATGCCCCAAAGTGGAAACTCACTGTTCACCTGGAAAATGGCAGACACCGTGGGCCTAGTGCCTGTGGAAGGGATGCGGGAAGCCAGCAGCACACACCAGCCCCAGGCCCAGGCTCCACTTGCCACTGACAGACAACACCTTAGGTAAAAATCCTGACAGTTTGTTTAAAAGGCTCTCTCAAAACATTTTTGCAAACTGGCGGAAGGGAGGACATTTTTCCAGACACTTTTCAAACACCAACACACAGAACATAATTTTCTTAGAATGTTATTCTTTTTAAGGGTTTCTTTATTTTTCTAGTACTCTTATCACTTGGTAACTTAGATATTTGTTTTCTAGCATATGTACTCCCTGAAAAAGAGGTCAAAGAGTACAGAAGCATAAAGAATTAGAAAACACTTGGTAGTGATATCTCCTCCTGTCCTCAGAGACCAGCACTGCTGAGGGGCTGCGGAGCATTCTGCACAGTGGTATGGAGTTGCCACAGCCACAATCTGCACCCCTGTAACCACATACTGACACTGAGAGGCCACAAGGGTCTCTCTCAAACACTCGCAAAGCCAAGGACCTCCTCTATGACAGTGCATGGTCACCCACCTCATCCACACATTATGGCTTGGGAATTTTCATGACATGTACTTAGCTCTTCTCCTTTGAAGCCACATAGTTTCTAATGCTTTGCTGTTATCAATAATTGTGCAGTCAAGGTCTTCATTCACATAATTCTCTTTCTTATTTGGAATTTTTTTCAGAATTAATCTCCCCAAATGAGATCATAAGGCCAATAAGTATGAAAGTATTTATGGCCTAATCATATCCAGTAAAAGTTGCTCTCTAAAAGAAAGGTGCCATCATACTACAGTGATATGGCACATCCATGTTCAGAGCGGCACAATTCATAACCGCTAAATCTTGGAAGTGGCCTCTATATCCATCAACAGATGAGTGGGTGAAGAAAATGTGTTTATACACAATGGAGTACTATTGTCATAAAATGTAAACGAGTCATTTGAAGGATAAAAAGATGCACCTTGAGACCATAATGTTAAGTGAAATAAATCAGGCACACAAGCTGAAATATCACATGGTTTCTCTTATATGGGAAACCAAAATATAAATAAGGAGCAAAATAAATGACAAATAATAGGAATTAGGGAGACAGGTCTTTCTGCAGATGGGAAGGGAACCAAAGATGGAGGGAGGGGAGAGGAAGTGAAAGGGAGGGGAATGAAAAAAGAATTGAGATGTATTATGTACATGAACCAATTCCCCATGAGAAACATAATTATTATGTACTACAAACATGTAATAATAAGAAATATTAAAAATAAAAACAGTCTTGCTAATTGCCCCCCTCAAAAAAAATAGGTGCCAGCCTCTCTGTAGCAGCTCTAGCCCTGTTATCATCAACAAACATCTTTTAAACACTTACATTTCAAGAGGCACAGCATTAACTGTATCTTATGCCAGCTAATGTCTGCCCAGGACTACACTGTATGGAGATAGGGTCATTTATTTAACCTATTATGGATATTTAAAATGTTCTTTAATTTTTCACAATTATAATAATACTGCAATAAATAATCTGGTAATATATTTTTGTATAAATATTTTTTATGATTTCTAAAGTGAAATTATTGGGCCAAAGAGTATACATATTTTAAATTTCATTACCTATTATTCATTAAAAACAGTGATTAAGGAAAGTAAAGCATGGTAGGCATCATCTCAGACAGGTTCCCTTTTTTTTCTATTTATCACCCAGGTACCTGCAGAAACACAAGTGCTGCTGAGGCCAGGTAAGTTTCTGATAGCAGTATCAATTTAGTTTAGTTCTCTTTCCCTCCTTCTCTCTTTCTTTTCTTCCTTTTGCCCTCTTTTCCTCTTCCCACCTATCCAAAAAGGCATATTTAGTGCCTACTTTGCGCCAGACAGGATATGCAAGAGCAAGTGTTTTTAAAACAGAGCAGAGACAATGATAGAAATTAATGAAGACATGAAGAAGTCTGGATGGAGGAATTAGGAGAAATGGCAGGAGGGATGGTGCCAGAGAAAGGTTTATGAGAGAGATTCTGGGAGATAAGAGGTCATTTTTCTGGGGGAGGAGGGGGACAGCTACCAAGATAAGAGGAAGTCTGGGGAGTTAAATGGATAAAAAGAAAAGACCACTGAGACTTTTTGCTGTATCTTGCTAGTTATCCCACACACACACACACACACACACACACAGACACACACACACAGACACACACATTCCAGACCTGAAATTCATTAATAATGATTTCAAGTATTGTTTACTGCTTTTCTGAATGTTGGAGAGATGATTGCTGTGAATGCACAGCCTGGACATAAGGTAGCCAGCCCCGTTATATCCAGTTTACACCACCGGCTAATACACTACTAGTGTTAAAATAATGTCATTCCCACTGAAGAACTGTGCACATTCTCTACAAATGAGCCATCGTTCTGTCCCCAGCTACTCCTTGCTGTTGCTACCCATTCATTCTCTCAAGTTACTTAATGGGCACTAGCACAGCCAGATCTGTACTATGCCCAGATAGCAGCAAAAAACAAAACAGATTCGATCCCCACCCTGTGTGTTCTGAAGCAACAAGCAGACACTATGCGGAGCGTGAGTGTGCTGGGTCAGGCCATGCTTCCAAGGAGGTGACCCCTGACTGACACTCTGGAGTGATATGCTAGCTGAAGGGACAGCAAGGGCAAAGATGGTAATGCAAGAAAGCTGGCTTGCTTAGGGGATGGAGACAAGGTCAACATCAGAGGCACAGAGCAAAAAGGACGATGGGCTCAGAAAGGCTGGTATGGGCAGATCTCACAGGGCTTTGTGAGAAGAGTACAGATATTAGCCTAACATTTTTCTTCCCTTTCTGACATCTTTGAAGTCACAGCAAAGGTTCTGCAGACCAAATCCTGGGCCAAAGTGACATCAGTGGCTTTGCCTATGACTATAATCTCCTCCCCAGCTCCAGAAAGGGAGAAGGGTAGAGCATGTGGAGGAGATAGGGTGGCCATGGAGACCAAGGGACTCTCAGGCTTCTGGTTCTCCCTGTGCTTGCTGCACAGGAAGCCCAGCAAGTTTCAGGAGGATGAGATTTCACAGACACAAGCATTCCAAGAAAACAGATTTAAGCCTAGACATGATGACAATGTAGAGGTGGCACCTAGCCTTCTGTTGGAGATACGGGGCACAGTAACTGTTCCTCATGTGAAACTTCCACTGCCACCCTCATGGGGAGTAAGAGGTAGATGATCCCAAAAGGTTCCCAGAATGCTGAGGTCACATCTCCTCTTGCTGAGATCTTGTGGGTAAGAGATAAGGATAGGGAGGGATTCTCACCTACTATCATCCAAGTCTGGGGTTGAGGTCAATTGTCATTGATAACCCCAGAGAAAGGATAACAGAACTTGCCTAGAACTTACCTGGAAATGCAAGGAACCAATTGAGACCTCATCCCATTTCTCTTCTTCAAAAGCTCTTGTTCCATTCATAATGATATTGGCCCGGAACCGTGAGATGAGATCTTTCATTGGGAATAATTTCTCCTTTCCATTCTCATCACTGTTTTAGACATACCAAAATGAATAAGTGGAGGGAGGGTTACAGATAATTGGGCTGTTGTAGTGCCTGCCATGCAATGCCTGACTTTATCCACTCTACTCTGGCCTGAAGTCCAGATGGTCAGAACAAAATTTTTTTTTTGGTACCGGGAATCGAACTCAGGACCTTGGGCTTGTGAGGCAGACATGGTGCCACTGAGCTAAATCCCCGGCCCTGGTCAGAACAAATTTATACCACACCTGTAAGGCTAAGAAAGACTCGCCTGTTAAAGACACGTCAGTGGCCCCCATCCCAGGATATGATCTCACTTCCAGGTAGACGCTCACGGGAACCAGGCAAACAGTGAGTATGTGTTAGCTGAAGAGATGAAGGGCAGTGGAAACCAGATAAATGGAGCCAAGTGAACTAATTTCTGAGAAAATAAGTTCTATACAGTGGGACAGAACAAAGCATTTAAAGAGCTGAAATTATCAATGACCTACAAAGCACCAAGAGCACAAATTCTTTTGGATATTGAAATATAATAAAGAAATACAGAGGCTAACATTCCTAACTTCCATCCTATTTGCAGTTTTAACCAGCATTTGCTATTTTTATCACCCTTGTTTAAATTTTTATTGCCACAAAGCCTCCATGAACCCACACAGGAATGCATTGGAGATAGGTCGTAAAACTTACCTGACAACAGAGCACAGCCTGTATCATCCTGTGGTATTAAGTCCAAGAACAAGTAAAATTACCCACAGTGAAAGAACTTGGAAGAGAGGGCTTAATCCTTCAGTGGAATTGACCAAAAGCGGTACAAGGGAGGCTTCTGGGGTATGTTCTCTACTTGATGTTGGTACTGGTTACATGGGTGCATATATCTGTAAAAACTTATTCATTTGCACTTTGTATACTCCAGTGAATTTTTTTTAATGAATTGGTGTGTATTTGGGGTTGGAGGGATCCTAGAGCATAGTGGACTTTGCCCTGGACACAGAAGTGAAAGGCCACAGACTGGGGAAGAAGGATTGTCTCAGTGATATCCCAACCCCTTCCAGCAAAGAGCACATGAAATGCCAAGGACCAAGTCTAGCTTCTCCATGAACTACATGCAGCTCCCATGACCTATGAGGAATGTGGCTTCCTCATCTGAAATGAGAGGGTTAAGATTTTCCATTCCACAAATCCTTTGATTCCAGATTTACTCTCTGGATTGTACAAGCTTCCTTTGTGTTTTATAGAAAGGGAAGTCTTTTGTCTGAAAGCTATGGTGAGTAGCATGCAAATGAGAGTCCCTCAAATCTGCAAATGGACCACAAAGACATACTAAGCAGGGGCCACAGGGAGCCTCCCCTGTACAGTACTAGTCACAGGCTCTGTATCTCTCAGCCTTTGACTATCTGCCCTGCCCATTGGCCTTGCTCTAAACCAGTTGGAGGTAAATGTCGTCCCCTCCTGGTAAGAACTGGGATTGAGGCCAGCCTGTCCCCTTCCCCTGTCTTTCCACATCAAGTACCCCCAGAAAAAAAATAATAGTAAGATGTGTTATGTACATGTACCAATTCCTCTCAATGAATGTAATCATTGTGCACTACAAACATGTACTAATAAATACTGATTCCAAAAAAAGCCAAATCTTATCACTGGGGGGAAAAAAATCCAGAAAGCTGCAGACCCCCGGTCTCCTATTCTAAGTATGTGAGAAAAGGGGTCCCTACATTCTAGAAAAACTCAGTGAACAACCAGGACCCTGCAGCTGCATCATAATTCTGCTCCCAAGGAGGCCAAACTGGGCCACAGAAAGAAAACGCTATTGTATGCTTTCACCAAAGACTATGAACAAGAATTATCAACAAGTCATCCTTTTTCTTTTTTTGGTATTGGAGATCGAACTCGGGACCTTGCGCTTTCGAGGCAGGCGATGGAACCACTGAGCTAAATCCCCAGCCCCCAATAGGTCATCTTTAAAGAGGCCCAGGAGGGACTCTTGACCACTCTCACTGAGCTGTATTTGTGTGTCTCCAAGTGTGCACACGCATGCCCATGACCACGCGGCACATGACAATCACAAGATACCTGGCTGTGGGGCTGCCAGAGGTGTGTACCTACCTCCCTGGCCTGTGCACTAGGAATATGGAGCCCATCCCAGGCACAGCTCTAGCATAACAGCTGGGTTATTTTCCCTAATTGCCTGGCTACCTTGGTATTTTAGTTTCCTTTAAAGAACAGCAAAAGGGTTGACCCAACCAAACCCTTTCCAGAGCTAAGCTGACCTGCTGACACTGTGAGGGTTCTCAGGCGTGCACTGTGCCAGGGAGAGAGAGGGGTGCTTGCTCCATCTGATGGTGCACCTTACAAATAAAGTACACCTGCAATCATATGTAAAAGGCTTTCATACCTACTCTTTTTCAACCCTCAAAATGACTGTGAACTAGGCCGGGGGTCCGAGGGGACAATCGGAAGGTGGGCAATGAAACTGGGTCAAGTTGGTGACAATTCAATTAAAACAAATATTAAGAAATAGCTAGAGGCTTTCCACTGGGAATCCTGAAGGTGTTGAGAGGCACTGAAGGTGCTGTAGTTTAGGTTTTTAGTGTATCCCCACAGGTCCGTGTGGTAAAGACTCAGGCCTCAGTGTAGTATTATTGGGAAGTGGTGGAAACTTTACGAGGTGGAGCCTCATAGGCAGTCTTTGGGCAGTTATTACAGCTGTGCTCTCAATGGGGTTGTGGGGCTCTCATCTCTTCCTATTTCCCCCTGCCCTGCTGTAAGATAAGTGGGGTTTCCTCTGCCCTGTGCTCCTGCCACCATGTGCTACCACAGGCCCACAACAACAAGGCCAACTAACCGTGGACTGAAATGTCTAAAACTAAACTCTGTAAATTGGTTACTGCAGGTATTTGTTAGAGTAACAGTACTCTAACATAGAAGATAGAGGAGAACCCCTGGAAAGATGAATGGGAATTGGCCCAAAAGGGCTTGCTGACCTTTTCTGGGCCTCAGTTTCTCATCTGGAAATGAAAAGTCTAGACTCACTGTCTCTCAGATCCTCCCTCCCCAGGTGGGTATCCGGCCTTGCTCCTAGGGGCAGGTGTGTTTCCACTTGTCTGCTAGTCCTGTGGAAGACATCTTACCTGGTGTTCAATTGCTGATGAAGTTCCAGAATGCTCGATGTGTTTACCAGCAGGTACTGTGCCTCATTCACCAAGGAAAGGGTGGCTGTTATGCCAGTAGACTGATCTAAAAATGAAGGGAGTATTGAAGAGTTGCTTGTTTGGAATGCTAATGAAGTTTGGTTTCCACAGAGTGGCATTTTCAAGGGCATATGCTATTTCTACCTGGTGGGGTGGGCACTGGCAAAAGCAAAAATGTTCTAAGCATGGCTCAAATCTTCCAAAAACCCAAAATGAATGTGAAATGATCTGGAGAAAATAACAATAATAAAATGCCAAAGTGAAATTGATCCAGCAAAGGAGACTTGTTGATTCTGAGCAGAAGAGAGACTGGTAGAGGACTGGATGGAGCACACCCTCCCCACAACAGGATAAGGCAGAGGAGCTTGACAGAGCAGCAGGCTATTAGGAGCTTCTGAATCTAATTAGGGAAAAGATACTGACTTTTGAAATAAGTGGTAGAAGATTTAAAACTACTGAAAGGAAAAAGATAAAACTATTGAAAGAAAATTTCAACGCTCATCAGAATTGCTGGCAGCCTGGCTTTGTTTGATGGGCCTGCCCTCACTATTGTTATTCAAGCTGTTGGTAAAAAGGGCTGGCTGGGCCAGGACCTAGTAAGCCACCTCCAGACCGGGACTATGGACCCCAGAGTACACAAGAATATCCAGGCTGTCCACTTCCATCTGTCCTCTTTGCTAAAAGGGCTCTGTCAGAGAGGGGAGGTGTGCCCTCCACAAAGACCCTTCCAGAACTTCGCAGAGGGGCGGCCACGGGTCTCCTGAGGCACACTGCCCCTGAAGGCCGAAAGTCTCCAGAGTGGCAAACAAAAGCCTCATTCAAACGCCTGGAGCTGGGACTGAAAAAATAAAGTCTCCAAAACTAGGGTGACCGATTGTCCTGTAGGTCAGATAGATTCCGATTCTTTACTAGCCACAAAACTTGCAGAACCTAATTAAGTTGTCAAGGGACAGATGATTAAAGGCATTTTAATGTTAGATCCTTGTGCTTTGGTCAAGGACCTCAGAAGGTTTGAGTGACAGTGTCTTAACCAACGCCTTCCTTCCCCGGCTTTTTATTACTTAAGCAAGGTTTGCCGACGAGAGCGGTGCTGGCCCTAAGTGACAGTCACTCACCGATAGGGAACCAGTGGCAGAGAGCCCAACTGGCTCAGTAAGAGGTTCATTTTCAACAAGTTTTGCTCTTTATGTTTAATAATTATTTTTCAAAATATACAATATACTTAATTGCTTTGATCAACTGAGGACTATTAAGAGCAGAAGAAATCTGACACCTAGACCCTTAGGATCTCAGCAAGCTTCAAAAGTTTTTTAAACATTTCAATTTATGCTGTAGCTTTAGAGAAGTATGATAGCGCAATCAGTGAGATTTCCACACATACAGCAGATAATAGTAAGATAAAATTCTGTTGAGGAAGTAGGGGAAAAAACACAAGGTAAAGAAGGAAAATGAAAGGAATAAAATTTCTGATGATTAAAAGACAGTTTATTCATATATATATATTTTTGTTTGTTTGTTTGTTTGTTTTTGTTTTTTTTTTTTTACCAGGGATCAAACTCAGGACCTTGCACTTTTGAAGCAGACGCGATGCCGCTGAGCTAAACCCTGGCCCAAAATCTTTTCTTTGGTACCGAACTCGGGTCCTTGTGCTTGCACAGCAGGCGGCAAAACCACTGAGCTAAACCCCCAGCTCCCAAAATCTTTTTTTAAAAGATTACTCAAGAAAGTTAAATTGCTGTGCTGTTGAGATTTCACTGGCTATACTGAAAAGAGCCCTGTATGACAATGTTTACAATGTGCTGAAAATCACACTTTTTGCAACTGTTTAAAACATTCTTAAAATTTAGATAATAATGTAAAAATATACAAGGAGGGAATGTAGTTTTAAAAATTCTTAGGGTCAGGGATTTAGCTAGGTGGTGCAGCCCCCTGCCTCGTAAGCATAAGGTCCCAAGTTCGATCCCTGGTACCAAAAGGAAAATTAAAAAATTAAAAAATTAAAATAAAAATTTTTGCCGGCATCTGCCTCTCAAGAGTAAGGTCCTGGAGTTTGACCCCCAGTACCAAAATAAATAAATAAATAAAAATTCTTCCAAGGTGCACCAACAGAAAAATGTTTGAAAACCAGTAGCCCAGGCCCAGAGAGCTCTGCACTGTGTCATGCTTGATGTAGTCACAGGTGACAGTCCCTGATCCTGTACTGTGCGGGTGACAGGCTTTCTCCTCTGACCCACCACCTGGCCTCACCCAGGCCTCCATCTCCCACTAGGACACTCCCAGCCACCTCCTGCTGTCTCTTTTGCTTTTTTCCAAGCCTCCTGTCTGAGGCAGCTGCCACACCAAGCCAGGACTGTCTTTCAGAAACAAGTGATGTCACCAAACTCCCCAGCTTAGACTTCTCCAAAGGCTCCTGCAGCTTCTCAGTAGCTCATGAGTCTCTTTTCCCCAGCTTCTCCACTGTCTCCCTGCGACCTAACAATGGCTGATGATGGGAAAAAGATGTCACAACTCTTAAAAGTCTGAGTCGTTAAGGTCCACAGAATGGAGCCACAAGAGATTCTAGGATTTTCCAAGATTTCATCTCTATTTGGTGACAGAGCTAAAAATTAGAAACCTTGGTTTTCTTCTTTCCAGATCTAATCTGAGGACACTGAAGCTATTAATGTTTTTATTTAACAAAACTAGATGTGCTCCTAAGCCCACAGGACTGGCCTGAAACCCTGAGCAAAGGCGAGACAGCAGCTTGATGCCCTCCTCGGCCTCCACAGGGGATCGTGGAGCCCACTGATCTCATTGACCCTGGGCTACCACAGCAGCTTCCTGCTGAAGGATGACAGCCCCAGCTTTCTGCACACGAGCAAGTCACTGGGGAGGACATTTCACAGGCTGTTTCTGATGTGTGCAGAGTAAGCCAGGGTTGCTGCCCTCTGAGAACCCATCCCAAATGTAATACCTTTTCCATGCTTCTTTGCATTTCGTTGGAAGTTTGAACTTTGTTTGATTAAATGACAAGGACGGCCCAAAAATTCTGACAACCAGCTTGAAATTTTTTCTCCACAATCATAAGTATTTATCCTGGGGGGGAAAAAAAAAGAAGGGAAGAATAGTGGGAGGGAGTGAAGGAGGGAAGGAGGAGGAAGGAAGGAAGGGAAAAAGGAAAGGAAATAGAGAAAAAAGGTGAACTTTTATGTAATATTTTTACAATAATTATCTATACCACAAAAAGTCAGATTAAAAGAAAATATTCCCAAGTCCCCTGGGAGGAGGCAGCTGGAAGCAGCAGGCAGCTTGGGGTATTCCAGGGGATCAAGGCATGGGAAAGCCTACCCTGTGGGGGTTGTGAGAAGCATTCAGACCAGATTAAAATCCTTAGAAATTCCTCCTAATAATCATTTTTATATTAATTATTGACACCAAGAAGCACAAAGCTTAGAATTTGCAATCCTCCCAAGAGGCGTTTTGCTTCAAGAAGCCCCTTGAAATGTATCCTGGTTTTTTATACTGAACCTGACTAAAACATTTTCCTCACAACCAGATCATGTGGCTGACATGTTTGGTTTGCAAAATGAACGCTGTCCCTGTATGGTATCAGAATAAGTACATTTATTGATCCAGTGTTTTAAAGTTTTGGAATCCTCTAGAATCTTTCAAAATGTACATCAGTGGAATTTATAATGCAAAATTGCTAATATCTTATCTCAGAATTACAAGGTAATATTGTTGACAACCTATCTTAATTTTTACTGAGAAAAAGAGCTGCCTTCCTGTTCTGGGAGGGGAAAGGACTCCCAGACTCCCAGGACTCCTCTTTGCAGCACTCTTTTTTTTTTTTTCCTATGCTTTGAGACACTTCACCCGAGACACAGTCCCTGTTTGTTACACTGAGTACCCATAGGCTCTAGCTATCTGAGAAGCTTTACTAACCAGAATACTGCACTCCTCCCAGATACAGCAGAGTGAAATGCACAACCAACAATCAGGGATGAGCTTGATAAGTAACTACTTGTTTCCCTCCATGACTATACTTCTATCAGAAGGTTAGTAACAGCAACATGGCAAAAATGTTGCCCCAAATCCATTGCTCTCATTGAAAATATGCTGTAGTAAATGTTTATGTTGGCAAAAACAGTTAAAGTAGAGCAAGTGCTGGCAAGAATATAGAGTATGTGCTCAGTTCTTCGGCCTTCAGGCCAGAGATCAGTGCCCATGATCCTCAGTTGCGTTGGCCCAGTCATTCCCCAGCACCTTCACACCCTTCCCTGGGAGTGCAGCTCTGCAGAGTCCCAGGGGGATCCCCTGCCCTGGGGCACCAATCACTCAGGTCCAATTTGGATGTAGCTCTAGTATCTGAGTATAAAATATCGTATCATGATACGTATGACTGTGTAGGTTCACAGCAGTGCAAACAGAAATGTAATCTGGTTTGATACCATGCAGTATCACTGACAACAGAACACACCCTACCCACTACCGAGTTCACTGTGGTAACTAATAGGCAATTCATATCTTTAAACCTTTTAATTGTATAGAAATCCTTAGTGAACTGTTCTATAGTCAGCTGCCTTAGTATTGGTGGGAATTTGGTTGGTATTGGTGGAACATATTTCCCATGATTATAAATTTTGCTATTCCACACTTTCAGGTGCAGATCAGATTTAGAATACAAGGGACACAGACATTTGATGTACTCAATGAACAGAATGATATACATGTATCATCAAAACATAAAACAGAAAAGCCATTACATTCAACCCCACTCTATAGTTCCTAGATTTTAGCAAATGATTTATTATCAACAATGCAAATTAGGTAACACTGCACAGCTATGGGTTACCTGAACACTCCACTTTAGAAACCTGAGGGATGCCTTGACATGCCTCTCATACTCGGCCTCTTCATCCAGCCCGTGGATGTTTAGGTGATATAGTTCTACAATATATTCCTGAGGCCAACCCGATTCCCTCTCTGACTCTGGTCAAGCCTCCATCTCATCTCATCTTGCCCATGTTGCTAACACAGGGTTTAGCCAGCCTTCCCACTTCCACAGTACCCCTTTCCAACAATTCTACATCCCTCAGCCAGTCTTTGAAAAATGTGAACTCTCTTTGCTCAGATGGGGCTCCTCTGAGCTGTTGCAGAGGCCTCTAAACTGTTCTTCCTGATTCACTTCATCCTCCCACCCCCTACTCTGCACCCAGCTCTGTCCTAGACTCCGCAGGGAGAACACAGGCATTCTGGGAAGGGCTGAAAATAAATAAACAAATATAATATGCTAGGAACAATAAATGGGAAGAACACGAATATAGGCAAACAAATGGAGAGGGAAGGACCAACTTCAGGGGGTGGTCACGTGGCCCTCTGAAAAGGGGACTTTGGGGCAGAGCCCTGAGGGAGGGGAGACTAGTGAAGGGAAGAACTGAGCCCTGCAGAGCAACAAACAGGGGAAGAGCATTCCAGAGAGTGGGAAGAACAGGTGCAAAGCCTTGAGAAGAGAGTGTGCTTGGTAGGTCTGAAGAACACCAAGGAGCCCACGTTGCGAGAGGGGATTGTGCAGCCGACAGGATGAGGAGTATGGCAGAGGACAGATCATACAGGGCAGTGCTTTTTTCTCTTTCTGTGTCACCATGCCCATTACTGCCAGGACTGTCACCTGCTTCAGAGTCTTACCTGTCTGTACAGACTATGCTTTGGCAAATCTGAACCCGGCCACTATCTTCCTCAAGAGGCATCTCTATGGGCTCCATTCCTAAAGAACAAAGGGTAGAGACAAGTTTGTCATCATACAAAATGAGCAGCTAAGCAAGAAAAGCCCATTATCATGAAATCTATAAGAATTTTAATGACTCTTGAGCTTGGCTGGATCAAGGGCATGGCTGGGTCTTAGAAATTTATAGCACAGAGATTTTCTTTCTCATTATTTAGTACCACCAACAACAGAGTGTGCTTCAAGCAGACTTCTGGTAGATCCTGCACAGGGGCAATTGTGCCCACAGTCCCTGGGATGCTCTATAAATTACTTTGAAAGATTTCTTCACTCCACATGACTCCACATTCTGAGGTCATTCATTGTTCTCCTAAGCTATCTTAAATCCTTCAGAAATAGACAGGTGGACATGAAGCCTCATGCTGTAAAAAACATAGCATCAAATTAAATTCTGGCATCAGAGGTCATTATTGCCTAAAAACTAAAAACTAAAAATGATAACTAAACTAAAAAAATAAAACTTACTATGTCAGTGGGATTGGAAACTATTTTCTTTCCTTTAACTGTTACATATATCATATGTAAGAGTAACATACATTTGTAATAGTTTGAAATCATCTTTAATATATGTTAATATCCTAGGTACCAAATTCAAACACAAAGGGTACAATAAAAGGTTACATATATTTCCATCTCACTGTTAAAAAGATACAAAAATATTAAGTACAAAATATTATCAAACCAAACTCAGCAAGATGTTTAAAAAATTATTGCCAAGTAATATTCCTATTTCTCACAAGAGCAAGGGTAGTTCAGTATTAGACAATCCACAAATGTAATGTATCACGTTATTATGAGAGAAAAAATAATAGTGAACACAGTTTAGGAGAATAGGAAAATCCATAGAAACAGGAAGTAAATTAGTGGTTGCCCAAAGACTAGGAATGAGGCTAGAAATGGGTAGTGACTGCTAACAGATAACAGTTTCTCTTTGGGAGTGATGAAAATGTTCTAAAATTGGTTGAAAGGTTCTAACTTTGAATTTACTAAAAATGATTGACTGCAGGCTTTAAGCAGATACATTTTATGGTATGTTACATACATATCAATAAAGCTTGAAAAAATGAAAGTACAGAAAAACGACACACCATAAAAACATTAATCAAAACAGAGGTGAGATGACTATTATAATATCAGAAAAATAATTTCATATTTCACAGTTTGACACAAAGCAAATCACCAGGTATAAAGAGGGACACTACTTCAAGAGGAACAATTCACCAAAAAACATAAAAATACTAAATGAAGCACAAGCTAACAAAAATAAAAGGGGAAAATAGGCAAATCCACAATTACAGTCCAACACTCCACTTAGTGCACAGCACTAGTACACAGAAAAATCAGCAACCTTATAGAAATACTGAACAATATTATCAACCAATTAGATCTAATTGACATTTATAGACTAGTTTACCTAACAACAGAAGAACACATATTCTGTTCAAATATACATGGAATGCTCCTAGTAATAGGTATCCTAGATCATAAACCAAACCTTAACAATTTTTAATAAATTAAAGTACCCAAGAAAGGTACACAGAGAATTTCAGCCATATCTATAATGTTTTATTATTATTTCTTTAAAAAAGAAGCAGGGGCCAGGGATTTAGCTCAGTGGTTTCGCTGCCTGCTGCACAAGTGCAAGGACCCGAGTTTGATCCCTGGTACCAAAAAATAAAAAATAAAAAGAAGGAAAGGTGGGTGTGGTTGTGCATGCCTGTAATCCCAGCACTCTAGGAGGCTGAGACCAGAGGATCTCAAGTTCAGCCCAGCCTTAGCAAGATGCTGTCTCAAAAAATAAAAAGAGCTGGAGATGTATCTCAGTGAGGAGACCCTGGGTTCAATCCCTAGTACCAGGATAAATACATACATGTATACATATATAGATTCATGCCTACATAAATAGAAACATAGGAGGAGTATCTGAAGGAACTGTGGCCAAATGTTAAGATTTGTTAGAATTGGATGCTATAATTATGTATTATATTATTCTCTGATCTGAGTCCAGCACTGTACATACTAGCCACATACATCTATCAAAATTAATTAAAATTAAACACAATTTACAATTTAAATAGCCACAGGTGACCAGTGGCCACCAAACTGGGCAGTGTAGATGCTGAACATCCCCTCAACTCAGAAAGTTCTATTGGACAGAGCTGGTTATACTTTTTCATGTGTTAAAACCACCAAGGAAGAATCAAAGCCTACAGTACACATTATGAGTGAAGGCAGAAAAGGAAGGTGTTATGGCTTGCATCTAGATGTCCTCCTAGAGCCTCATGCAGTCTAGGGGGGTGGGGTGGCCTTTTCAGAGGTGGCTGGATCTAGGGTGTGTGATACTGGGATTAAGGATGTGTTATGACTGAATGGGTTTAGCAGTTCTGGGTGTGGATAATGGAGGGCCCACCCTAGGTGTGGGTGGCACCAACAAATAGGGTTACAGCCCGGATGGAATATAAAGGGACCCAGGGAAGACAGCCTGGCTGTTGCTGCTTTCTGCCTCCTGCCTGCCTTGCTGGGGATTGTTGCTCCTCTGTGATCCCCCTCTGCCATGCCACCCCTGCCTTGGAGCTACCCAACTATGGACTGAAACCTACAAATTGTGAGCTAAATAAACCTTTGCTCCTGTAACTCCGGGGGTCAGGTATTTTATCTCAGAAAAGTAACTAAGACAGAAGTAAGTGCAAAGGACATCACACAACTCCAAGTTCAAAGCTCTTTCCTTTCTGACTGGACTCAAATTGTTAGCTCTTCTCAGAAATTTCACAAAACAAAGGCAGAACAACCCTCACTTTAGGATATTTTTAATATTTGGTAGCAGAAAGACATTCATTTACTCTTATCTGAGTATGAAAACACTCTCCCCAGCCGCCCTGGGAAATGAAGTATTTCCACACCTTTGGCTTTGATGACCATGATCCTTTGCTGCAGATCGATGAAGGGCTGGATCAGGCAGAGCCTCGGCTCCTGCTTCTGACTCAGGCAAATGCCGTTGTGATTCACGATCATCCAGCTCCGGTCATACAGCAGCCCGTGCTTTCCTATGGGCCACCTGGTCACCTAAAGAAAAGGCAGGTGTATTTTACATCAGAACTCCTTGAAAATGAGGTTCACATTATCACACAGGGGTGCACAAGTACAGATGGACTTCATGAATTCAGCACATACTCTTGGAGAAAGAAAGGGAAGAAGAGGAAAAGCAAAAGAGAGAGCAATGCAAGGAGATAACGGTGTGGGAATGAGATACCTTCCATTCAGCCTCCAGATCCAGTTCCCTCCTCACCAACTCAGCCTGTGCTCTGAGTAGGAAAGGTGTGTTCACGACCACATTCCAAGAATACAAGAGAGTCCTTTGTCCTACCCCACCTCCAGAACCCTTCCCCACAAGTGTCCATGACTTCTGCTTTTTGTATACCCTTCTGCTGTAGTGGGCGTGTGGCTAGGCACAGCCTAACACTGCAGACGTGGTTCTTGCACAAATTGTGGCTATCCTGAGATGCTGAGTTGATCTACTTTCAGTGTGTAAGCTTTCCCGAATTCTTCATATTTCTACAAAATTAAAATACAAGTTACACCCAGCGTCCACATCCATTGTCCAATAAAAAGAGCTGGGACTCCTTGGAGAAGTAGTTGATTCTAGGGCTGGATCAGGACAATTTGGAAGAATGAGATGTCAAGACTCATTCTGTAGCTCTGGTGTGATCCGCCTATTGGTCCGAGAAAAACCAAACACTTACTGAGCTCAGTCTCCTCATCCATAAGGTGGGGGTGGGGCACCAACGCCTGCCATGCCACATTTGTGTTTGTGTTACAAAATACAAGCCGACTGTGAAAGCAGAGTCCTTACATACAGAAGGCACCCAGAGCCCTCACCTGCCTCTGCTCAGGAGCAGGGATGAAGCTCATGGTTTATGGACTCAGCCTGGAGCCCAGCTCCAGAGGGAACACTATGAAACGCAGGCCAACAAACAGCCCCGAACTTGGTATGTTTGATGAGGAGCCAAAAAAGCTATCGCCCAGAGGCTCAGGAGTCTGGGACTTGGGACAAAGGGAGATTATAGAAAGACAGCCTCAGGTTGGCCACAGCAGGGAGGACAGCCCTTCTGGAGACTGGGGCTGGCTGCCAGCAAAGGCAGGCCTTTCATCCCTCAGGTACGGGGTCACTTGGCCTATTTGCAGAGGTAGTGCATGTTGTTCTGCAGGCTCCAGGATCCCCAACAGAAATCTTACATTAAATCGTGTAGTATTTGCATATAACCTACGCACACCCACCTATATTCTTTCCATCTCTAGATTATATACACTATCTAACACAATGTAAATGTTATACAAATAGTTATTATACTGTATTGTTTAGGGAATAATGACAAGAAGAAAAAGTATGTACTTATTCAGTATAGGTGCACTTTAAAAAGATATTTTCCATTTGTGGTTGGTTGAATCAGTGGATGTAGAACCTGTGGATACAGAGGACTGACTACAGTTTGGCACCACAGGGACAACCAAGCACAGTAAATCACATAAGACCAAAGACCCAAGGGTCGGCAGACCTGGGTTCCAATCCTTTCTCTGTCATTTACTAGCAGTTGACCTGGGCAAAGTGCTTTACCTCCACCCACTCAGGAGCTGTACCTGGAGATAATGTTACCATTAACCTCTTATGATTGCTTTAAGTTTCAAATAAAAGAAAGCATATTAAAGGCTTCAGCAAGGGGCCAGCACATGCATTCAGGGGAAGCCACAGCTATGGTGACTGTTTGCCACTCAGAAATGGAGTCCTCTGAGGGGTCCCTGGAAGCAGAGTCTCATTCAAAATTCAGCCTGCATTTCAGCCTCCAAAAAAGAAGGCAAAATTAGAATGGGTTTTTCATACCACAGCACTCTGACCGTACGATTTTGAGTGCATGCTTTTTTCACTTTCTATGTCCTTTCTTCACTTTATGTTTTTTTAAAAACCCATTAGAGAGAAACCAAAGGAAGCACTTTCTGTGCACAGGGAAGGCCCCTACCTCAAATGCGGCACAGGATTTGATGGGGTAGAGGTAAAGGTTGGTGACAATGTGTGGCCCAAGGTCCCCAGGCAGGATGCCTGCAGCTTTCTCTGAAGGAGTCGGCTGGGTTCTGGTGGCCTTACCCATCGCAGGGCACAAATCTACGGAATTCACAGTGGAGCTGGAGTCATTCCAAACCCCGGAGTCCATGCGGGCACCTTCCTGAGGTGACACACAATGTCTGCCGGTGACAGCGGGTGTGTCCTGTGCCTTCCCCTCTGCTGATGGGGCTCCAGCCTTCCCAGTGCTGCCCTGAGGGACTGGCTGGCCACCTGGTAAGCACAGGCGAGTGGCTATGATGAACCTGAGAAATGCCTGGGCATCTTCAACTGAAGACATGTATCCAAAGGAAATCCTCACGGAGCCTGTGGGCTGTCCATCTATGAGGTCAAGACTGTCTCCACAGACATGACCTGCCTGGGATAAAAAGGAGATAAATCAGCCAGAGAGACTCATGCCTCATGGACAGACTAGAAACAGTTTTATAAAACAATTTTGTAAATTTTTAAATTAACCCAGGAGATCAGACCTGCAACACTGAGTGTCTGAGACACAGCTCAGCTCTGAACACTCAAGGCCCACCTCCTGGAGCTCCCTCCACTCAGCTGTGAATGGAAGCCAATACCAATCTCAAGGGACCGTCAAAGAGTTGAAGAGGAACATTTCATGGAAAACATTCACCCAGAGCTGGCACACTGCCGGCCCACAGAGGAGTCAAAGGATGAGCCGAAGTTTCAGAAGCACTGAGAGGTCAGCTTCACAGTCTACCAGGGCTGAGGCAAGAGAAACGTTTGCAGGCCACCCAGGACTCTCAGCCTCTCTCGGGACCGAAGTGAGGCCTGCGTCCCTGAGAACTACCCCCGGGAGGAGGGAAGGGCAGAGATGGCTCACCTGGGGCCACTATGAAGGCCCACATCAGCCTAAGTGTCCCGACCAGGATGGAGAGGAAAGGCAGGAGGATGTTGGCCTCCTGATCCAGCTGTCTGAGTGAGGTTCAATGTAACACATGAGGCTACCAGGACACTCCCCAGTAGGCCCAGGCCAGTCACCCCGAGACGGGGCCACGGCATTCCACACAGCCACATATTGTATCAGGAACTGCATTTACTTCTGTTCTGAGCCTCTGCCTCCCCGACCCTGCTCTCTCCCTCTCTCCTCTTCTCCTCCTCCTCTCTCTCTCTATTTGTATTACCCTCCTTTTTAAATAAAATCCAGTGAATCATGATTAGTTAGGAATACAGTACCTACAATATTCAGCAGCAACCAACAGAAACTCAAATTAGAAATTACTCCAAAATAAATCAGGGCTCTTTGCCACTCAAATCATTCTTATAAAATGGTCCAAAACAAGTTGTACCCTAGAGTGAAAGACCTCAGCCTCAGGGAGAGACAGGAAGGGTGGGGATTCTTCGAGACACAGAATCCTTGGAACCGTGGAAGGATTCCACTGCAACCCCAACCCAAAGGGAGATGAAACTAGACTAGTTAAGGGTATGTACTAGCACATCTCTTGATAACAGCCCTCTCTGCTTTTATATTTTTGCCCTCCAAGTAAAAAATGAATCAGAAAGTACTGCCATAACATGGTATGCATGCCTGTAATCTCAGTATTTGGGAGGCTGAAGCAGGAGGACTGCAGTGAGTTCCAGGCCAGCCTGGGCTACATAGTGAGACCCTGTCTCAAAAACAAACAAACAAACACAAAAAGAAATAATATTTTAAAGAATCTGTTCTTGTTGACCCACTTTTTTCTTTGTACATCCACAGAAAGGCCCCAAGAAATAAACCCCAGAAGCCAGCCACTACCACCACCACCAAACAGGTGACCAGCCACAAATGTAGCCACTATGAAGGCCCGATCAGACTCCCAACACATGGGCCACAGGGTCCTGTACTGACCTCAAGATGCTTCTTGACCATCTCGTTGCTTATGCCCAGGTGCCTCTGGCAGGCCCCCGTGTTACAGAAGCAGCCAGTTCGAAGGTGGATGTTGTACAAGCTGGCCATCTTGTCCACCTGTGGATCAAATATGACATTTACAGATGTCCGGTTTTGCTCTGATAGCCTGGGAGAGTTCTGAGTCAGTGTTTGGCCCTCTGTTTCCTAACAATGAGCACTTCTGTGCTCAGAAGTTTGCTTTAAGATGTATGCTCTATCGTGGTTTTACTAAACATTTTATAAAATGTCATTGGAAATGAAAGTGTATCCAGATGAATTATAGAAGTATGCTTGAGAAAAGTGGAAATATCAAATTCAGGCCAAGTTCTAAGTTAAGAGTTCACATGTTTCCAGTGAAAGTCACAAGAATAGCACTCGGTGGGGCCGGGGACTTGGAGCTGCCCCTTAGCACACAGTCTGACCGCAGAGCCAGCCCCAGACAGATGCTCTCAGCCTGCCCCACAAAGTGTCACTACTGACACTGTGTGATATCCACTTCCTTTTCCTAATTTCTTTTTCTTTTTTTTTTTTTTCATAGGTACCAGGATGGAACTCAGGACCTTGCGCTTTCAAAGCAGGCACAGTGCCACTGAGCTAAATCCCTGACCCTTCTTCCCCTAATTTCCCCAACTTTGGGTTCATTCAGAATTGCCACTCGGTGTGGAAGTTCTAAGGTTCTTTCCTGCCCTCTGGAGCGTCTGGAAGGTCATTCACATTATCTGGAGCCCCTAGGACATAGGTGTTTATCCCTGCTCCTGGGCTGTAAGTCGACTCCACTCCCTCAAGGGCAGGGAAACAAATACATCTTGCCCAGATGGTTAAGCCTTTAAATTCTCCCCCAAGGAAGTCATATGTGGCATGGCCAGAGGCAGCCACAAGGAGTACAGTGTCCCCTGTAGCCCACCAGCCACCACAGTCAGACTGGGCTCTCAGCTGGGCAAGGGGATCTCCCACAGACCCTTGTTAAAACCATGGTTGTCTTCACTCCGACTAACTCCCTGGTCTATCAGAATGATAAGAAATCATTCATTCCCTGGCTGAATGGAGGGGCCTGGAAACAACTCTTCCTTCACCCTTGGCTAACAACCCAGTGGCATAAAGACCTGGCAGTGGAACCCAAGAGGTCCCTAGCCCTCTGTGGCAGGACCTGGCAGCACGATTGGTCAATTCCATCTCTAGAGTTAGGTCTCCACTCACAGGCTAGCTCCTAGGGAAATCCTTTCTGGTCCCCCAGCTCAGTTCCTAACAGAAAGGACAGAAGTCCCCCAAGACCATCCTTATTCACCCCCATATTCACTGCTCTGTTACCACTGCTGCTAAACAGCCAGCTAAACTTGGAAGAATAAGACCACTGTATTATGCTCCTGGCTACAGTAGCTCAGGAATTCAGACTGCATATGAGAGAGATGGTTTGTCTCTGTTCCATCCTATCTTGAATCCCAGCCAAGAAGAGTCAAAGGCTAAGAATGTTTTAAGCTTCCTCTTTTAGGCTTCTTCCCCAGCCACACCTGCCATAGGATACTTAAGGATATTTAACCAGGCACTCTTTTGCCCCATGCATATTCCACCCCAGCACACAAAGCTGGGTAGATGTCTGATCCCGAAGCCTGATAGGCTCAAAATTCAGGCCTGCCAACCACATAGTGCCTGGGCTTGGCCTCTCCATGGAGCTTGGCTTCCTCCACCATGGCAGCCTCAAGGCCCAAGCTGGTGGCTGACCTGGTAACACATGGCTCCAATGGTAAGTGTTCCAGGAATCAAAGCCAACATGGCATCACCTTTTCTGACCTAGCCTTAGAAGCCACAGTGTCACCTTCGCAGCACTCTATTAGTTACACACAAGTCACAAACCAGCCTGGATTTAAGGGAAGAGACATGGATCCCAGCCTTCCATAAAGGGAGTGTCAATGTCACTTGGCCGAGGGTAAGGGCGGAAGACATTGCTGTAGCCATACTTAGACTCTGTAGTGACTTCCCACTGATAAATCAGTGTCCTCTGGCCCTCAGCCCTCGGGAGCCCCACCCAGGCCCAGCTGTCCTTGTTGTTAACATCAGTACTGCGTGGACCTGAATTGTGCACCATGGTGATTCACTAATACTCTCTAATAACTGCCTCAATATCCTCTGATACTTCATCCCTTCATCTAGTTATGATGCTAGCCAAAGAGGAAAACATGCCACCATTTGAACTGCACCCTTGTTGCTATCCAGGTAAAAGAAGCTGGTTACCTTGGCAGGGTAAGAGCTGAATCCAAAGAGGGGCAAGAAACCAGCTCAGCCACAATGCACAGGAGCCTCATAGCCAGGAGCCTTGAGCCTCAGAGTGTGTGTGTGTGTGTGTGTGTGTGTAACCAGGGATCCAACTCAGGACCTTTCCCTTGCCAGGCAGGCATTAGCACCACTGAGCTAAACCTCCGGCCTGAGCCTCAGTGTTTATTGAGCACTTATTTTATTCCTGGGTCCTGCGCAAAGGGATGTAAATGTTGTATCTCATTTAACCATCATAGCAGCATAAGCCAAGCCAGGTATATTGTTATTCTCATTTCACTGATCTCAGAGAGCTTAAGTTAACTTGCCCAAACTTACAGAGCCAGCAAAAGGCAATCAGAATTTGAACCCACATCTTAGCCACCATATACAATGACTCCCACCAGTGGGGAGAGTAAAATTAGGGGCCCAGGTATCACAAGCAAAAACCTAAAGTCTTCATGTAAAAGGTACATTTCTTTACTCATCCCCTGAAAAGGGACAACTAAGCCCCACTAGGATACCATCTGATCTTTCTGAAGTCCACCAACATCCCTGTGGAATTTCCACACCACAGTTCCCCTGGCCCAGGAAAACAGCTGGACTTTGCTGAAGCAGCCCAGGCGGCCATGTGCCAGCCGTGAACCCATGACTGCGACCAGCTTCCTCCACTGATGCCCGGAAGGGGAAGCTCACCTCGCACCCACCCTGAGGGCTCGGCGACTCTGTGAACACGCCTAGGTCCCAGATAGGAAGCTCCTAGTGGTTTCTCCCCCAGCCACACCTGCCACAGGACTCTTTGTCACCTGTTGCCCTTCTCCACTTCTTTGGGAAATACAAATTCACTTTCAATTCAAGAATGAAAGTTATTTTACTAATTAGCTAGAATAACATATTTAAGCAGGCACTCTTTCCCTGATGCGTACTCTACCCCAACACACAGACAAACACACACACACCAAAATGCATACTTCCAAGTGGTGCTGGGCTGGTTCTGTGGCCAGTGTAATAGCTGAGGGCGGTCCTTAGCAACTGGGGATTTTCCACTGTTAACTTTGAGGCACCACCTTGAGTTGCACAATGTCTGCATTTGCTAGTGGGGACCAACATTTCCCGCAGAAGAATAGTTACCAAGTTCATTCTTCGGAAAGTTTGTGGCTATTTAGAAGAATGGGGCAAAGAAGGCTCCTTGGGAAATGGATTTTTATGTTTTTATTTTTGACACTGGGTCTCCCTGCATGGCCCAGGATGGCTCCAAACTCCTGGGCACAAGAGATTTTCCTGCCTCAGCCTCCTAAGTACCTGGGACTACAGGTGCATACCAGAGTGCTCAGCTCAGAAATGGATTTCATTTGGGAAATTCAAAGTTTAACAAAAGTATTTGGGGATTGTGGCTCTCAGCAGAAGATAAGCACCAAGTTCCAAACTTACCTGATGATCGAATCTGCTCCAACTCAATCCCTTCCCCAAATCTGCAAACCACGGATCTCATTTTTTTTATGGAAAAATACAGGTAGTGTGCATATATGCAGAAACCACTGTTAGCCAACCCACCAGGTCCTTTGAACTAATTGTGAACTAAGGCAGATTAGAGGCTTTTGTGGACCATTTCTGCTTCTCACAGAAAAGGCGCTCTGCTGACAAATGCTGTTACAACATGGTGATACACCACTGGGGTGCCAGGCTGTCTGTATCCAAAATTACTTCAGCTGTGGTTCTGACCACACTATTTTTCTGTCTGGCCTAATTTGGGGTGTCTTCTCTTGTTGGCAAGCCGTCACCTATTCCACTGGTAACAGCAGAATCAGCCTCTCTCTTCCAACTTAAAATGTGCCACTCTACCTGTGTAAAAAGGGCTGAAAAAATACACAACCAGGCTTGCTAGAACTGTGTGGTTGAGAGTTAAAGACTGTGAGTAAGGGCCAGTGCTCCCCAGCAGTGTGTGCACTTCATCACAGCTACTTCCAGGGGCACGGAGGCCTTCACTGCAAATTTCAAGGCTCAGAAAGGTTTCCAAGTTCCAGAAAAGAGCAATTCCGTTGCATAAATGTTAGCAAGATGAAAAGCAAACCCACCTCAGAGTAACCAATGATGTTCCCGCCATTATCCAGCACATTAAAATTGATGATTGGACCCTGAACATCAGGGCTGCTGAACTCTGAGTCACTGTAAATCTGCACCACTGGGGCTCCATTGGGGTAGCGGAGAGAGGACAAGGCGGTGTGGGTATACTGCGCCAGCATGAAGGTGTACTGCATAATATTCTCCATGCCACCTCAACACCAAGGGGAAAAGCAGAGTCATGAACTTCACAGGAAAGTCATTTGCTCATTTTTTAAGACAACAAGATTATCATAACTGGTCATCCTGGACCTCAGATTGATGACTTTAAACACTCATATAAATGGTACAGCGTTGCCCATATGACAAAGGTTTAAGTCTTTGGTAGTGAAAAATAGTTCATTATTGCTGTTTATATAGAATTTTTCTATAGGAATTCTTGTCATCCTCTTTTTTAAATAAATACGTGTGTACACAAATATTACTAAAAAAATTCAGATAATTTAGACCCTTTGGTAGCAGATGGCAAAAATACACAACTTTATTCTTAAAATATCATTTTTGTTGTTTGTTTTTCTTAATATTTAAATCACTTTAATTACAAAAAACAATTAAGAATACATACTTCAACAGGGATGAATCTAGAAAATACTATGCTAAGTGAAATAAACTAGACATAAAGGGGCAAGCACTATATTATTCCTTTATATAAGGTATCTAGAACAGGCAAGACAGAAAGTATATTAATGATCACCAGAGGCTAGGGAGGGGAAGGAATAAGAAGTTATGTTTTTGGGGATTTAGCTCAGTGGTTCCACTGCCTGCCTTGAAAGCACAAGGTCCTGAGTTCAATCCCTGGTACCAAAAAAAAAAACCCAAACAAACAAGAAACCCACAATAACTTCCTTTTTTCCTTGCTCTGATAATTCATTTTGATGATAATTCAAATCAGATTTAGCCACACTCCATGTCCAGTTACTACCGGTATGTGCCACTCACTTCCCTGTACAAACATCATCTCCTTCATCAGAAACACACCCATAGGGCCAGGGATTTAGCTCAGTGGTTCCACCACCTGCCTTGCAAGCACAAGGACCTGAGTTCTATCTCCGGTATCAAAAAAAAAAAAGAAAAGAAAAGAAATAGAAACACACCCATACCAGGACGCCCTCGAGGACATGGCTCAGGAAGGCTAATTCCCTGAGGGTGAGAAGGCTTACTGACCTGTTAGGCGCTCCAGCGCATCAAATCCATGCTTCAAGGCTATCACGTCAAGGTATGAGATGGTGCCATCTTCAAACCTGCAGTGTGGGAGGAGTGGAACAAGGTCAAGCTGTGGCCACCACACTCCCTGTGCATTGTGTGGCATGTAATGACCATCTGATTTCAGGGAGAATGATCATCTATCAATAGCCACCCTCCGCCTCCTTGTGAAACACTGCTCAGAAAACCCGTCTGGCTGCGTCTGGCCCTGACCTGTAGGTCTGTAGCTTTCCAGAACTACTTTAAACTTCCAAGGTAGAGTGGCAGAGTGATAAAGAGCCCGAAAAGACAGTTACCACCTTGAACCAGTTTGACAAAATAAGAGACGCCTCGCTGTCTGAGAAAGGATTTGGACTTAAAGCCTCGAGTGACAGGCTCTTGAAATCTGCTCTCTGACCACAAGAGGGCACCAATAACAGGGCGTCGTTTCAGGGCGATCAGCGAAGCAGCTATGAAGTTCTTGACAAGAGTCCCTGGCTCCAAAGTGTACAGATCCAACGATTTAGGTGAAAATTACACGGTTAATATTGCAGATGCACCCCATCCTGATTGTCAGATTGTTAGTTTTGCATTTCATTAGAATTATCATCAAGTCTTTGTTGTTCACCTACTGTGAGTCAGGCACTGTCCTAGGTACTAAGAATGCAGCACAGAACAAGATAGACAAAATCCCTACCCTCATAGCCTTACATTCTATGAAACAAGGAATAAAATCTAGCAAATAGACACAGAGAAACCAAGGAAACAACACACCAGACTATTAAAAAGTGCAATGAAGATGCATAAGCAGAGGGTGGCTGGGCAGGGTGAGTCCACTCAGGACCATGTAAGCAGGGCCACGTGGAAGTCAGGATAAGGGAAAGAGCTAATGTTCACAAGGACTAGGATGACAGTTTCCAAGGGAAACAGCACTCCAGGGAGAGGGTGCAGGCAAGGCCCTGGGCAGCAGAAAACCTGGCATACTGCAGGGACAGCAGACCAGGCAACCGAGGCAGGAGACAGAGAAGGAGAGGTCCCTTGAGACTCCACGTTCTAGAAGACTCTGCACAGAGGAGTGAGAAGATGTGATGTGCTCTGGTCTTAAGGAGACTGCTGGGCCCCCTGGGAAAGCCCAGACCTCCAGGTAACAGTGAGGGGGAGGCTTCTATAAGCATCCACAGGAATGGTGACCAGCAACTGCCTTAGGCAAGTTAAAGCTTTCAATGGAAACATTATACTTTGTATTTTAATGCTCTAGAAACAAGATGTGCTTAAAACATTGTTACTGCAATGCTAATTTCTTCACAAAACTAATCCACACAAGTAATGAAAACATGTACAAAAAAAAAGGGATAGAGGGAGAAGGAAGGGAAGGGAAAGGGGGTAAAAAAGGAATTAAGATGTATTATGTACATGTACCAACCCCCCACAATAAATGTAAACATTATGTACTACACTGTTGGTGGAAATGTAAACTAGTACAACCTTTATGGAAATCAGTATGGAGATTTCTCAAAGAATGACCTAGCTATTCCCCTTCTAGGTATTTTCCCAAAAGAGTCAAAGACATCATACTACAGCAATACTGCATGCCAATGTTTATAGCACCATTATTCATAATAGCTAAATCCTGGAAACAGCCCATATGCCCATCAACAGATGAATGGATAAAGAAAACATGGTGTCTAATGGAACACTACTCAACTATAAAGAAGGATAAATTTGAGACATTTGTAGGAAAATGGATGCACCTGGAAAATATAATGAGTAAAATAACTCAGACACAAAGCTTAAATACCATATGGTATCTCTCAGGTGAGTATAGAAAAGTAAAAAGAGCACAACAAAGGATGGATAGAAGGAGACAAGAGGATAGATCTCTTGCAAATGGAAAGGGATCCAGGAGACCAAGGGTGAGGAGAGAGGGAGAAGAAAGAAGAATTAAGATATGCTATGCTCAAGAATCAAATACCCACAAAGAATATAAGTATATGTCATAAACATGAGCTAAGAATAATAACAAGAACGAAAATGGGGAAAGGGAGATGGAGGGAGGAAGGTGGGTGGATAGGGGATTAAAAAAAAGAAGTTGTGTTATGTACATATACCCACTTCCCAAGATAAATAAAGTAAACTTCATGCACTGTAACATGCATTAATAAAATAAAAAAGAAACATGTACTAATAAAAAAATGATCTGAAAAAAATTAATGGTAATAGACATACAGAACTCATGATTCAACCATGAATCAATTATTAATTGATAAATCACAAATGAGTTAGTAATCACTAATAAGCTAAATATTATAGCTAATAATGACTTAAGTTATTAATCATCAATAAATAATTATGTGCTAGTAATTAATTAAAATTCTCATACAAAAAGAGAAAAGCCTTTTTGTTTCTATCAAGGGCTGTATTGCATTGAGTTATAAAATACAAAAAGTCTAAGAGCAAGGTTGAGGCACATGTTCAGTAAGCATTTGGATTGAGTACTATATATTGATTTGGGAGGGGGTGGACCAGGGATCGAACTCAGGTCCTTCCACTTGCAAGGCAGGCGCCAGAACCACTGAGCTAAATCTCCAGCCCGAGTACTATACATTGAGTTCTAGTCTGAAGTTTATAAGAAAAAAGTTTGACTTATAACGCCACATGAATATATTCTGCTTTCTGGGAGTCTTCGTGTGGCACAAGCTGTATGTAAAGAAATCCACCCAAATCAAAGCAAAGAAGTCTACCCCAGCCCAGCCCACCCATGCCCTGGCCCAAACAAGGTGGCTTTCTCCTGGCCTTCAGGATCCTAGGGCCAAATTAAATTTGTAGCTTCTCTTTGTTTTGCCTTTGATTTACTTATGTTGTGCCGATCATTCATTTCTTGCTTGGTTATATTACACAGTAAATTATCACACATGGATTTAAAAGATGTCACATTAGTATTTCTGTTTTAGAATCTCCCTACTATGGAAATGTCCTTTTGAAAAAAAGACTGCAAGGGCCGGGGATTTAGCTCAGTGGTTTCGTCACCTGCTGTGTGCAAGCGAAAGAGCCCAAGCAAGATCCCCGGTACCAAAAAAAAAAAAAGACTGCAAACTGTCTCATCCATGCATCAATGCCCACTCTCTCCTGGTGCTTCACCTATATTAGCTATAAAAGGATGGTACCACCACCCTCACTGTGCAGGAAAACCATGAGGTGCAGAGACCAAGCCACACGTCCCCCGGCTGCTGATCTACCTCCCAGAAGCCCGGCTGCAGATGCACAGCCAACCCTGACTCTACCCCAGGCATGGCCCTGTCTGCAGGACCCTGAGGCTGCACTGGGTCTAAGCCGCCCTCCCCTCAGGCCGAGACCTTCTCTGGCACCAGCAGGGTGATTCGCTTTCTACCTCAACCTCACGGTGGCCCCTACAGAAGGAGAGAAACCTTGCTTAGTGACCATTTCACCTGCCATTCATATTCAATATGACAAGTGCTGCCATCACCATCTGGGAGAGCCCTTGGCATAACCCCCACCAGCTGCCCTGCAGCCTGAGTAAAGGTATAGAACAGTAGGCAAAACTTTTAGAGACCAAGTGCCCAAACTGCAACCCAAAATCCACTTATTTATTGCACAGTGTCAACACTGCAATTAAACCTGAATACTGAGGTTTCACTTTTGAAAAAACTCATGCACTTGGCTCGCATGCCAACAGACAAGGCTCTGAGTCCCCTCCACAGCATGTGTGACATAGGTTCACCACCAAAGGTATGGGCCAGTGAAGCCAGCGTGCCCCCAGCCTGTTTGAGGGCACCTTCCCTCACCTTCCCATGGATGCTGCTCTATAGGTCTGGGGGCCTCTGGTTCAGCCTACTTCCTGCTAACAGGGCACAAGGAGAGCTGGCTCCAGCTACTGGAGAACTGAGGGTGCTGCTATTGAGTTCACATTTGCTCCAAAGACTCATCTTTTAAAGTCAGTGCTGTGGGGCCAAGCCCTGTGCCTTTTCATCTCTGCTCACAGCTCTTATCTGCAGGGCTAGTCCTCCCACCACTTTGGAGCAAGCCACACGTGGGGGCAGAGATCACCGAGCGGCCTGTGGCACACTCCAACCAACCTCTGCCTCCCAGACCTGAGCCCTGCTGCCAACTTGTCCCTGCCAGCATCGATCAGCTCCCCTAGCTCTCAGCTAAGACGCCCCTGGCATAATCCCATAGGTGACACATGCCAACCTGCCACCAGCCACCCTCATGTTGAGGTTACCTTTCAGCCACCGAAGGCCTCGGGATGTAGAAGTCTTCCCCCGCAAGGTAGGCAGCGGCTGTCCCTCCTCCAAAGTAGCTTTTCCTCAGTAGTGGAGCCACACGATTATTGATCAGCAGAGCACCCAAGCCGGTGGGGAATCCGAAGATCTTATAGAAGGAGATGGGGACAAAGTCTGCCTGGTGAGCCGAGAGGTCCAAAGGTGAGGTGCTCACATACGAGGCTGCATCCAGCAGCACGAACCACTTCCCAGGCACATTCGCAGGGCTCAGCCGCCCGGACCTGACCTCTTCTATCCAAGAGAGGGGATATCTGGTTCCTGAAAAGTTACTTTGAGCCGGGTAACAGAAGAGGTGTGGAAGCTGGCAGTCGGGCTCACAGGCCAAGGCACCTCGTTCCTCTGCCGACCACATGTCCTCTGGGCTGACTGGGGTGGATGTGACATTCCTGGCCTCAGCAACCTTCCTCATGCCCACCACAGAGGTGTGGTTGTCAGTGAGGTAACAGAACTGACTCCCACCGTTCTCTGGGCCCCTGGACACCCACGGAAAGGCCTCTGCCACCAGTTTGAGGGCAGCCGTGCTCCCGGATGTGAAAACCATGCTATAGTCCTCAGGCGTGGTGTGAAAATGTGCCAGAACCCTGGAAGAAACAGAATGTCAGGCAGCGCCAGGGTCTCAACGCTGTTCAGAGGTTACTTCTACTAGGCAGAATATATCTACCCCAGTAGCTAGGAAAAATCCAGATAGGCTTTGTGTTATGGCCTGTGTCTAGATACCACGCCCCCCCCAAAGCCTCAAGGGGTCATAGGTGGGGCTTCTTCAGAGGTGGCTGGATCTACAGTGTGTGACGCTGGAATTGATTCATGGTGCAATGCTAGGCTCAAGGGCACTAGGATTAAGGGTGTGAGTGCTACTCACCCTAAATAGTCTGGATAAGATAAATGGGACAGGAAGAGGTTGTTAAGATCCCTCGCTTGCCTTTGCTGTCTTCTGCTTGCCAGGAACTTCTCCTCTGTAATGCCCCTCTGCCAAGCCACCCTGCCTTGAAGCTGGCTGATTATGGACTGAAACCTCTACAAACTGTGAGCTAAATAAACCTTTCCCCCTTTTACTTTGGGTGTCAGGTATTTTGTCTCAGCAATGAGAAAAGTAAGACAGCTTTGCCACAGCTGTGAAGTTAGGGCTCAGGTAGAAGTCATGGGAAGAGATGAATCCATCTCCAATGGGACACATAAAAATCTACAATGACCCTGATGTTGGTCGTATACACCTTCTCCTTGGTGTGTCCTCCCCATTAGTATCATAAGTTTCAAGTCATCAACCTGTTTTACACCACTTTTAATCTTGGCAACTCTATCACCACACTATCATTTTCCAATCTGAAATAACTTGCAGTTGTATTGATTCGGGTAACTATAGATACCACCTGGAAATTAATTACCAGAAACCAATTACTGCATGCTAAAATATATAACAAGCTATTTGGCAACTTGTTAAAAGAGTGGGCTATCAGGCTCACACCTGAAATCCCAGCTATGAAGAGGCTGAGGAAGGAGAAACACAAGTTTAAGACTAGCCTGGGCAACTTAGCAAGACCTCGTCTCAGAAAGAAATAAACAAAAAAGGGGGATACGAAGAGGGAGTGCTGTTTTTCTTTCTGAAAACAAGACCTTGGAACTCAGGTCACTCCTTGTGATCTCCTTATCCGCTCTCACTCACTCTAAATAATTGTGTGACAGCTACCTACCTGGGCTTCTTGTCTACGCCATTCTGTACTTAATCTCCCCTTTGTGTCCTCTGGCTCTGATATTTATCATCATGTATGCATTGGTTTAGAATGAAAAATGATTTTCCTGAAACCTACTCAGAATCTTTGTGGGGTGCAGGCAGATGCTTAGAAGGAAGTCTGTCCACACAGGTGGCCAGCACAGGCAGGTGTTCCTGTCACTCACCGGTAACGGACCTGCTCCACGGTGTCATGGGTGAGCTTGCTCGTGATATTCTGACTGTGAGGATTACCTGACAGGTTACAAAGACAAAACTTCAGGTTCATGACTATGTTTTCTCCTTTTGTGTTGTTTCAAAATGCTCTCCCTCAGTTTCTCAGTTTCTCAAAAAGCTAAAGATAAAACTACCATATGACCCAGCAATTCCACTCCTAGGTGTCTACCCAAAAGAAATTAAAATGTATGTCCATCCAAAGACTTGCACACAAATGTTCATAGCAGCTCTAGTCATAAAGCCAATTTCTAGAAACAATATAAATGCTTATTAACTGGGGAACAGATAGGCAAAATACAGTGTATCCATACAAGGGACAATTATTTGGCAATAAAAAAGAACAAACTACTGGCTATGCCATGAATGAACTTCAAAAATATGCTAAGTGACAGACTTAGTGGCCATATGTTGTGTGATTCCATTTATATGAAATGCCCAGTATGGCCACCACACTGTACAGAGATACCGAACCTGGTAGATTAGGGGTCACTGGGGTGTGGTGGCAATAGGGACAACTGCAAATGGGCATGAGGGATCTCGAGGGAGAATGCAAATGTTCCAACTGATTAGAGAGATGTCTGGACCACTCAGTAAAAGTACTAGAAACACTGAATTGTATATTTGAAATAGGTAAATTCTATGATATGTAAAATATGACTCAATAAAGCTGCTGGGAGCCCTCCTTTTACTTATTAAATAAGATGGAACCCAGGAAAAGAGGTTTGGAGCTGGCAGTTATCTGAGAGGTAGCCAGGCCAAGAGACTTTTCTGTTAGTTCCCCTCCAGGTAGCCAGGGCCTCTATCTATTAACTCCAAAGAACCAAGGACACAACCTCAGGAGACAGAGCCATAAATGTCACTTTCTTAGTTCCCATCTGCCACCCACCATTCCCTCCATCACTGCTGGCACTGTTCCTATAGAATCACACCAACCTCCTCCGCCAGACGTGTGAAGGGAACATACCCTTAGCTTCCCACTCTTGAAACAAAAGGCTCCCAACCTCCCTGCCCCTGTTGACTTCCATACACACACACACACACTCCTAATGTCCTCTTGTGCGTCCTGAAGAATCCTGCTGTCCCTCCAAACTCAGTTCTCAGACATGAGCACAGACCTCTGGCAAGGCCTGACCCCGCTCTTCTCAGGCGCAGGACCACGTCTGCATGCTCACGCAGGCTTGGCCTTTGTCCTTCCAGATTTTTTCCCTACACCACCCTGAAGGGTCACATGGGATTTCTGGCCAATATGGCGACCAGCAATTCCTGTTCCACATCAGCTAGTGACCTGTGGGACTTGATACTTGTCCTCATCACTTTTCCTCACCTATGATTTTAGCCCTATATCATCAGGACCAACTGAAACTCCAAGCCATCTCACAGGCTAACAGCTTCACCATGGTTATGGTTCTTTTTCTTTTCTTTCTCTCTTTTTTTTTTTGCAGTACCAGGGATTGCACTCAAGACCTTGCACTTGCCAGGCAGGCATGGCGCCAGAGCTAAATCCCTGGCCTAATTATGGTTCTTTTTTGGGGGGTGGGTGCCGGGGATTGAACTCAGGACCTTGGGCTCACGAGGCAGGTGGCAGAACCACTGAGCTAAATCCCCGGCCCCTGATTATGGTTCTTATAAGGGTTAGAGAAGGAGAATTGTAGGCCTCTTTGCAAATCATAGATTAACGTCAAAATAAAATTCCTAGTTGGCAGCTTCCCTGATGATGTCCGCAGGTTTATTTTTTAAATTTTTTATTAGTGTTTGCAGCACATAGTTATTGCATTTATTGTGGAGGACTGGTACAGGTACGTTTACACATCTTAATTCTTTTCTTCCTCTTTTTTACCCACTATCCCCTCTCCCTCCCTGCTCCTTCTGTCTCTTCATCCCCTTCCCATTCACAAAGGCTTTTTCATTTTTTCAGTTTTTTCCATCTCCTTTTCCTCACCTCTTTCCTGCTCCCTCATCTCTTGTTCTCTCATCTGTGTGAAAAAGATTTCCCTACTTCCTATTTATCCATTATATAGATGCAGATCCAGATATATTTGATTTTCTCATGTAAGAGAAACCATGAGATATTTAAGCTTGTATGTCTGACTTATTTCACTTACTATTATGACCTCAAGATGCATCCATTTACCTATGAATGCCTCGAGTTTATGCCACGGTAGTACTCTAAATACCACATCATTCATCTGCTGATGGACATGAGCCATTTCCAAGACTTAGCTATTATGAACTGTGCTACTATAAAAATGGGTATGCATGTATCTCTGTAATGTGGCGACTTTAACTCTTTAATTTTTATCCAGATTTAAAGATCTACCGGTTGTCCAGAGCCGAGGTTCAAACGCCTCAGTGGAGCATAACACAACTATGAGGGCCAGGGGCAGCTGGGGTGGGGAAGAATAAGGGCTTGGGCTCTGGAGTCAAACTGCCTGGCAAATTACCCCCAGCTGCCCTCAGCTCAAGTACGTCCTGGCTGTGTAGCCTTGGGTTAGTTACCTATCCTCTCACGTGGTCACCTGTAAATTGGGGTAATAACAGAATCTGTATCTATCAGGTTGTTGTAAGGATGAACAAGGACAATACTTGTAAAGGCTTCAGGACAGTATCTGACACATAGTGAGTTGCTGATGAATGGTACTAATCACTATTATCACTGCAAATATAACAGCTGCTATTATTTCAAACTCCCTTTCCAAAGTTACCCCCTGAACAGTTCTGCTGCTGATTGATGCCCTCAGTGATAGCCCACTGTTCCTAAAATACTGTTGGAGCTCTTCAGAGCATCCACGATGCCCTGCACAGGCCTGCCCCTCACCTGCTCTCCCACCCTCCTCTCCCTCGGTGGACCTGAGCTATTTCCTGAAATCCCTATTGGACCTTGGCTTGCGTGGTTACCACCGCCTGCATACCTTCTCCTCTTCTTTTCCTAGTGAATCTGCCTTCTCTTCTCGTCCTAGTGGAATCTGGCTCATCCTCTGGCATCTGCTTCATTCCAATAAAGCTTTCCCTGACACACACACTGCCAACCCACTGTCACTGCAGATACAGACTCTCACGGTGCCAAATACCTTCTAGTCACAGACCTTCACACAGGTGGTAATTACTTTTATTTGGCAATCCCTTGATTAAGATCTTGTCTTCCAGGACTAACTATAGACTAGTCCACAAAGAAAAAGATCATGCTTATTTTGCTCCCCTTACATCACTGTGCCCCTTACACCATAGTGCCTCAATAAACATTTATGGAGTGAATGAATGTTCTTCCGCTGCCCCACCCTCTGCACTGTACAAAGTTGCTCACAGCACCCAACACAGCACCTTTAAACCTCTGTGCCCTTCCTGACACCGACCCCTTCTGGGAGTAACCTGTGTATGCCTGAGCTGGACCCTTCCATCCCAGCCACGTGTGTATGATAAAATGACCCTGGGCACTTGCCTGACCCCCTATCTGACATGAGGCTTATTCAGCTTTGTGTGCTCAGTGTGGTCTCCATCTATCAATACAACATCACTAAACACAGACTTAGCAGCAGTATCTACAGTAGTTAGCTAAAACCAGTTTTGGTGTGGTACTTTTTTTTCTTACCATAAACATTTTCCAGGAGATCCTTAGTAAAGTTTGTGAGCTGGCTTTGGGGGAACAAGGTGGCTCCTGCATGATCAAGGTAGACAGTTTCTGGAGGGAAAATGAAAAAAATAAAGCTGCAAGTTGTTTTGCACAGTCTCCCAAACATTTTGCCTAAAGCTGGTTGTGTGAGCACACCCAGTACCCATTCTATGTGTTCAACATCACACCAGCCCACTGATTTCCCCGAGTCTCTTGACTCATGCTTCTTCTCCACATCCAAGCATGAACAATGAAGAGCTGCACTTCTGCTTAGTGACCTGCAAGGGAGCCTTCCTGATGAACTAGTTCTCTTAAGATCCTGGAATTGCATCCCACACGGAGGAGACATCCAGCAGACATTTGCAATAAACAGTGTTACAACTATTTCTCACTATGACTCACACCCTGTTCCAGAGGTTCTGAGCCATTCCCTGATGGGTGAGCCCTAATTCTATTTTCCCGCACTGCTCCACGGCCCTCAAGCCTAGAACAGCTGACACAGCTTCAGAGAAATGGGGTTCGAACAATCCTTCCAGTCTCTCTCCGGAAGACAGAAATGCACATTTAGATGAGTGTGAGATACTGTGGTTTTCCAGACTGGCAGAGATTTTCAAAAGGTTGGATGCCTTAGAGGTGAGAGTGTGGGGCAACAAGCTGCTGGCACATGATTGGCAGGAGGGAGAATGGGTACAGCTTCCTTGTGGAAAAGCCATTTGGCAGGATCAGTCACATTTTACAATGCAGACACTTCTTCACCTAGCAATTTATACCCATCCTTTTGCGAAATTACTTGTACTATACATAAGGATAGTCAGTGAAACATTGTAATAGGAAAAATTAAAAACAAATGTCTATCAACATATATTTAAAATAAAGAATTTTTATATACTCATCTAGGACTTTATACTACTGATATGGAACAAACTCTGAAATACTGTTTCAAGGACATACAGTGTCAATAGATCCATTTATACTTTCATTCACTTAAGTATTTTTGTGCTGTGTAAGATGAATTTTTATTTTATAATTTTTATATAATTTTACATAATCCATATACCATAAAATTCATACTCTTAAAGTGCACAATTCAGTGGTTTTTAGTTTTTTATAATGTTGTACAACTATCACCACTATCCTACCTTATATTTTATTTTAGCAGTACTGGGGATTGAACCCAGGGTCTTTGCACTGAGCTACATCCCCAACCTCTGCCCCTTTTAAACATTTTTAGTTTTTCAGAAATTGCTAAGTTGCCTAGGCTAGGCTTACCTAGATGTCCCCTAAATGCCTCACGTGCTCATAGGCCAGACTTCTGGAAGGTGATTGGGTTATGGGGCTTATAACTGATTTGCTGTTAGGAAATTCGATCTAGTCAGAAAAAGCAGGTCACTGAGGGTGTGGCTGAAGGGTTTATTTCCCTCCCAGGCTCCTCCCTTCACTCTCTCAGCTGGCCAAGAAAGTGCTGCTCTTCCTTTGCCATGTGCCTGGGCCTCGCTATCCTGCCTCAGAGCCAGCTGACTATGAACTGAAACATCAGCCAAAACAAACCGTTCCTTTAAATTTCAGGTGTCGGGTATTATGTTACTAAGGCAGATTTGGGCACCACGAGTGGGGTTGTTCCTGTGACACTACCTGACTATGTGGTTCAGAGCCTTTGAAAGTGGTTTGTGGAAGGAGTCTGGAAAAGTTTGGAGATACTGACTGGAAAAGCAACCCTAGGATGCTATCAGCCCATCTTAATGGGAGATTCTGGTTGAAGCTCAGAAGACTAAAATGCTGATAAAAAGAGGGTACAGACCAGACCCAGGTTTCAGCTGGGAACAAAGACTCCATTGGCACTTGAACTCCAGACCATGTGTGGCAGAAAATATGTCATTTTGTTCATGTCTTGAGACTGTGGGAGACTAAGGGTGGTAGCCTAATTAATTTGGCAGAGGAATTTTCAAGGCAGCCCAACATTCAGGCTATGGAATGGGTACTGTTGGGGACTTTGCCAGCTCTACATTGAGAATCAAGGGCAAATAGTACAGCTGGGTGATTTTAAAAGTTCTGAGTTTCACCAAAAAGGAAGCTCAGCTCCTATAAAGTTGGGCCCCATAAAGCTGGAGCAGAGGACCCTGGTTGCTGAAAAGATTAGTATTAAAAGAAGCCAAGTACTTTACAATGGATGCCCTGAAGGGATGGAAGGAACCTGAAAGATCCCACTTTTTACAGACTGAAGAGTGGAAAAGTGAAAGACTGCATGAAGAGAGCCCCAGGACACCTTGCTTCAGAATGGCAGTTTAGGGAATTTGTTCCCTGGGATTTGGTTCATTGCGCTTAGAGACCTCTGCAGCCATGATGGGGCTGGCTACTGTCTGAGTGGCAACAGACCCTGGCATCATCCACATGTTCCCAGTTTTAAAGGAATTCAGAATGCAACAGTTACAGGGGCGTGGAGGCTTTCACCTAGATTTCATAAGAAGGGCTGGGAGGCCATTCAGTGTTTCCCTGAGAGGGCAGCATGTAAAGCTATGAGAATGAAGCTGAAAGTGCAATGGAGAACCCAGGAAGTTGGAGAAGCACTCGGTCCAGTGCCTGACACACAGAAATCACTCCACAGTTTTAGCTGTTATGAGAAGCAGGCAAACAACTCCAAAGCCAAATGACATTAGATCTTCAAGACAGATAATTCTAGGGTGTCTTCTTGGTCATGCTGTGTCATGGTTTAGATCTAAAATGACCCCTAAGGTGGATGTGGTGGTGGATGTCTGTAATCCCAGAACTCAGGAGGCTGAGGCAGGACTATTGCCTTGAGTTTGAGGCTAACCTGGGCTACACGGTGAGTTCAAGGCCAGCCTAGGCTACATAGCAAGACCCTGTCTCAAAAAAAAAAAAAAAAAGTAAAATGCCTCTTAAAACTGCTTATATTCAGAGTTCAGAGGTGAGGCTTCTGGAAGGTGATCAGATGAAGGGATGCTGTATTTACCAGTGGATTAGTACATTCATGAGGTGAGGCCTGGTTGGAGGTGGATCACAGAGGGTGTGACCTGGGAGGGTGTACTCCTGTCCTGAATTCCTCTCTTCTCTGCATTCTGCCTGCCATGGGTTGAGCCCCCTTCCTCCATCATGCCTTCTGCCATGCTGTTTCAGCCTTGGAGCCAACCAACCAGACTGAATCCTCTAAAAACTGTGAGCCAAAATAAATCTCTCCTCTAAATTGTGGGTGCCAGGTATTTTTCCAAGAGACAAGTAAACTGACTAGTACATGCCCGGAAAATTCTCTGGTTCACACAGACTAAGTGGTTACCAATTGAAGCCTAAGGCTTCAAGAAGGACTTGAACTAAATCTATATACTCAATGTACTCACTTCACTAAAGTGAGGAAATTCCCACCCTACTGGTTAAGCAAAACATTTCAATATTTAAAGATTAAGCTCTTGTTCATCCAGAACCACCACTTAAGAGATAAATGTTCAAACTTGCAGAAAATCTTCGAGGAGTGATGGAAAAATGGAGGACAGGGCTATACGGTGTTATTTTTGTTGGTTGGCTGGTTTGTTCTTCCCACATCTCTCCAGTTCACTTTTTTCTGTGAGTAAAAAGTGAGCTTGTTCCAAGGCTCCCAGAGGGCGGGGGGCGGGGGCGGCAGTCTAGTTCACAAAAGTCCTCTTCACCCATAATGTGGAGGAAATGGTTCAAGTTGCACTAAATAGCTGAGGACACACCTAACACTACAACAAATACAGTAGATCTGAAAGGGGCGCTGCGGGCCAGGCTGGAATCCTGGCTGCCAGGACTGTTTTGCACTTGAGAAGAAAAGGTGCTGTTCTTGAGGGAAGTCAGGAGGGCCCCTGAGTAGGCCTCGGTTTCACAGGGTAGTGTTGAGGGGAGCGGGCAGCCAGTGGTGGGTGTGAGGGATCAGAGGCAGAGGGGATTTAGGAGATTAAGGAGGTGTTGTGCTGAAATAATAACCCATTAATGATACAAGCGCTGGGCTCTGCTTCAAAAGAATGGAGGGGCTCCTCTCCCTGCACCTGTGTGTTCACGGCATCAGACTATTTGTATGGTAGGAAATTTCCATAATAAGAAAGAGGGAGAGGGCCAGGGATTTAGCTCAGTGGTTCCGCCGCCTGCTGCGCAAGCTCAAGGACCCGAGTTCGATCCCCGGTACCAAAAAAAAAAAAAAAAACAACGAAAGAAAGAAAAGAAAAGAAAAGAAAAAGAAAGAGGTAGAGAGAAAGAGGCAGCGAAAGTAGAGGGCCGAGGGGCTGTCTCCAGCAGGCGGTAGTGCCATAATTCGGACAGGGGGCAGGGAAGATTATGGGGGGGAACAAAGAGGTAGGCAAAGGCCCGCTGCCTCCCTCCAGACGCTCCGTGCCTGAATAGAGCCGGGAACCGCATAAGCAGAAGACCACAGTCCATGCCACCCCTGAAGGGAAAAAAAAATTATCCTTCAAAACGTGAGGAAATGACTGAAAGTGCTGAGCTATGCCGAAAACGGGAACACTCACCAGTTGTTCATCAAGAGGAACAAGTAATACCAGGTGTCCTGGACGGCGACTGTCCGCTTCACCTGTTGCCCCTCCCTGAGTATCGGGCAGGCAGCTCTGAGGCTTAGGCTTCACGAAGGAAGCCCCGACTCAAGGTCTCTTGCACACGGGAGTTGCGAACCTGAACCAATGGGCTGGGGTCGGCCACTGCCAGATGGGGCTTGATTTCAGCTCAATCAGCCGGTGCCGCCTCGCGGAACTCAATGGCACCCTGCGAGTCCAATTTACCTACAGGCTCGTCCCGTTCTTAACGCTCAAATTTCACAGATCGCTAATCTTCAAGTCTCCCGGAGAAACGAGGTAGGAAGAGCTCGGAAGGATACTTCCGACCGCAGAAAAGAGAAAAATGAAGCTTCGAAAATGAAAGTTGCAAGTGGGCCACCCCAACGGAGCCCGGGGCGCGGTCTCTGAGGGCCCCTCCCGGGCGACCGCAGCCTCTCGTCCCGACCCCGCGCCGGCCGCCCACGCGCTGCAGCTGCCCTCGGCGGCGGCAGAGCAGTCGCGGCCAGGGGACAGGCAGCATTTTGCAACCCTGGCTGCTGTCCGACCTTTAAAATCGTGTTGTCTCGCAGCAGCAGGGGGTAGGGAAGCTGAACTGGGACGAAGTCGGTCCTGCCCCACTGGAAAGCCCAGGGAACAAAAAGAGCAAGAGATCTTGGGGTCGCAGGAGGGACCCCAGGCAGCTGCGTCCACGAAGCGGACAGGTGGGCACATCCCTCCTACTCTTTCCATTCAAAACGCTCCCCAAACGACACGGTGCGCTCCCACAGGGAGCAAAAGCTCCTCTGTGTTCGTTCTCCGAGCCGCGCGCCGTCTCACCTGCCAGGCGGCCGAACTCGCTCTCGCGTAGCTCGCGCACGCTGCGCGGACCATAGCCGTGGGCGAGCCGCAGCGTGCTCGGGTCCCAGCACCGCGTGAAGGTCGGCCGTTCGGCCCCCGGCCCTGCCACCCCGCCGGCCATGGCCCACGGCTGCCCGCCGAGCGGTCAAGGACGACCGGACGGCCGGCCCGGGAAGTGCGCAGGGCCGGCCCGCGGCAGCTCCTCCCCGGCTGCGCCTTCCTGGTCGCACCGTCCGCGGCCCGGGGGCGGCGCCTCGCGGGGCGGCCCGCTCGCCCGGGCGCACTGACTCGCGGAGTTTCACTTCTGTCCCGCCTGTCCGCGCCGGGGCTGGGGACTCGAATGACCGCTTTTGTTGTCTTGAACAAACTCCCGGTGGAGCCCGCGGAAAGGCCTCACAGACCTACAAGGGAAAGTTCTCGTCAATTTGTCACGGAAATGCCGGTGGAGAAGCAACGAGGGTTTTGGGGTTTGTTTGGGTTTTTTTCCTGCTCCGCACAGAGCCTGGGACTTCGGCCACCGAGGTGCAGCCGTGCGGCGACGGCCCTTTGCAAGGAGACTTGGGCTTCGCGTGCGGCGTCCCACTGGGCGTGCGCTCCGCATTCTGAGAACGCGGCTGAGTTGAGGAAAAAGAAAACCGTCGGGATCCACAGGACTGCGCACTGTCAGAACCAGGAAGCTCCTAGGCCAACTGAGCTAGAGCGCCCCCTGGGCTCCTCCTTCCCAGCTGTGGCCGGAGCGCTGGGGGCCGAGAGGCCGTGTCTCGGGTCGCCATTGCATCACGCGGGCAGCCGGCAGACAAAACGCGGGCGGGACGGGGTAGGGCCCCGAAATCCCGCCCAGGTACTCGAGGGCGCGCGGGGGCTGAGGAGTGAGATTATGGCTCACGAGAGATCACAGGTGTCGGGCCCGCTACGCGGGATGGGGTGCAAGGAGACCAGGTACTGGGATACCCAGGGGAGGTGCCCGGTAAGTAACCAAATTTGGGGGAAGCGACAGTGTGGAACGCCCTGCGGTAGTCTAGACAGCACGTACTGGGGCGGGGGGGTGGGGGGTGGCAGGAGAGGCGCGTAGGGTGGAGATGGCACATCTCTCCTACTCTTAACATTGTGGGCAGGATGGCGGACCCAAGTCAGGGACCTAGGGGCCTACAGAGGTGGGACGAGGTGAGAGGGTGCTGTGCCCAAGTTCGCAGCGTGCGCGCGGCCGGGCCCACTGACTCCCAGGGCGCGGGCGCGGGCGCGGACTCGTGGCAATGGTGGCCCCGCGTAAGAGCCACGGACGTCCGCGTGCAGCCCTGCCTCATCGCACTGGGTGCCGCCTGCCTGTCAGAGACGGGACGGGATGCTGGTGAGGAGCAGTGGGGGCTCGATCTGAGGTGGTACACAAGTGATGGATTTTGGGAGGACTGGCTTAGGGTGACTAGGTGCTGTAGGAGCTGGAGACCAAGTGGATGCAGAGAGAGGGGTCTGAGGCACGGGGGCATAATACAGAGTTTGGACAAGGCCGTGTGAATATAGATTCAAGCTCAGACTTCAAGAAGCTCTGGAGACACAGTCATGCAGAGGGTTGTGAAGCAGGCACCTGAAGAGCTCAAGGAAGGGGCAGAGCCCTGGACAGTGGTACTTAAGAGTTTCTGCCTCTTGCCACAATCCATGAGAAGGTTGTTACCCAGGAGGAGAGTCAGAGGAGGGCACCTTGGTAGCATTTAAGGCTGAGGCACCAGTTAAGAGTAATAAACTTGCAGGTTAGATGGTGTGTGGTGACCTAAGTGGAAACAGTTGTTGTCTCTGTGGGGATGGCTTCGGCATTATAAATAATAGTCAAGTCTTCCTCAAGTGAAGAAGGGTAGAGGCTGTCCCACTGCCTAGCCCCAAAAGAGCTTTACCTCTCAGTCTCAGAGAGGGTGTATAGTGGGTGGCTGCAATTGTGACGGATCAAACTTCTTGCCAAATCGTCTAGATGTAGGGGTGGGTGTTTCCAAGAAGGCAGAATTTGGTTCAGAAAATGAAATTAACTTAGCATTTTAATGCACACTTTCCTTACAAAGAGAACCTGTAGACCTAGATAGCCAGGTAGCTAGGAATCAGAAGACAGCTGGCCCAGCAGTGGAGCAGGTTTCTCTCCAAAGCTTGGCCGTGTGTGTTCTCAGAGGCAACTTGAGAGCTTCGGAAAGAAAAATCAATCAAAAACCCCAGGAAACTCCCAGCCCTGGAGTGAAATGAAACCTTTTCTGTGAATAGAAGTGAAAAGGGCAGCTGGAAATCATGACATGGTTGGGAACAAGGCTTCGTTATATCCACATTCATAATGTTCAAAACAACAAAAAAGTCACCAACAGTCCACAGGACTGAGGGTGGGAGGCCCAGGGCAGTGATCTTCCTGAAGCTCTTTTCCTGGAGGTTCAGCTTCTGTGTTCATTTGGGTGTGGGTCCACGGGGCCAGGCCAGCCATCCTTGGTCCCTTCTGGATTGACACCTCACTTCCCTCCTGCTCCTTCCTCCTAAATCTTTATGCCCCCAACAGAAGGAAAGGATCTGGTACTAGTTAATCAGTTTACCAACTGGCAGAGTATACTGGAGAATGGTTCCCCTCCAGCCATCTACACTGTCAAGATTACTCACCCATGAATTTAGCAAATGTGACAACACACTATCCTAGATACTGTGAACAAAAAAGACCATCTCAGCCTGGGTGTTCAGGGTCTAGTTGACTTGTATGGTGGGCTTGCATTGGTTGCCCATCTAGCATTCATTCCCTCTGACTTTGCTTTGGAAAACCATCCAAACAGAGAAGCTATGTGGTCCAATTGGGACTGATCCTGCCGTCAGCTGCAAAACAGATCATCTCCTGGTTCTTGTTACATCAGATGGCCAAGTCCAACCCACTATATGGCTTTTTCCTGCTTGCTGTTACTAGTTTAGGGATGGTCCAATGTCATACATTATTTTGAGGAAAAATAATTTCACAAATTATGATTAGGCCTAGTTTTCCTGCCTACAGGCTGGCTATGGCATGTAGACACATAACTCCATTTTTGCCTCTGGTCACAGCTAAAACCTCAGTGATCCCATGATGCTGTGACACTCCAGGGCAGGATTGCATCAGCTAAAGACATCCTGGTTCCTTGAGAACTGAGTAGTAAGAGAAAGGTTTCACCTGGGGAGAGACAAATTCCTAATCAACAAAAGTTCTTCCTGGACCTAGGATCTTCATCAGCATAAATTCCTCATTGTTTTAGGATTATCACAGCTGAGTCATCTGTTACTCCCAATGCTGTACCAAATAAAGGTGTGGTAAGCTCAAGGTACCTTTTTCTCTGCTGACCAGAGCAGCACTGATCAGGCCCAGCTTCTTCTATAAGCTTCATTTCCTGTCTTTATTCATTAATTTGCCTTGTACCATTGTGGCTCACAGGAGAGCAGGACTCAATCAGAGTAAAGTTATAGACTCCATGTTTAAATGTTTTTCCTTTGATATAAGCAAGGAAATAAGTAATTTCCTGGGCTGCTTACATTCTTCTGAAACCTTGAAAGAAAACTAATGTGGGGAGGGCAGAACTGAGAGAATTAGAGAAAGGGAAATACAGTCCCTATCAACTACACCTGAAGCCTATACTACCACTTTTGACAGAATAATCCTTTGTATCTATTTGAGATGAACTTTCTTGTAACAGGCAGCATCTAACTGAAATAGCATAAGACCTATACAAATAGAAGATAGAATATAGCAAATGCCAACTGGATGTGGGTGTACAAGCTTATGACTATCTGCTTGGGAGGCTGAGATAGAAGAGCCATAAATTCAAGGCCAACCTAGGCAATTTAGCAAGACCCTGACTCAAAAAAATAAAGACAGATATGGTAGCTCATGCCTGTAATCCTAGCACTCTGAGAGGTTAAGGCAGGAAGATCCCAAGTTTGAGCCCAGCCTGGAACTTAGTGAGATCCTGTCTCAAAAAGAAGAATAGTTGGGGATGTAGCTCAGTGCAAATGTCCTGAGTTCAAACTCCAGTACCACAAATTAAATAAGAAAGGAAGGAAAAAGGAATGAGGGAAGAAAGAGAGGGAAGGACAGGAGGGTTGGAGTTGTAGATGAGCTGTAGAATGCTTTCCTAGCATGTGTGAGGCTCTGGATTCAATCCCTGCCATGGGAAAGGGAGCAGCAAAATCAGAATAAAAACTGTGGAGTTCAGAGAAAGGAAAAAGTACTTGGAAACAAAGAGATAAAGAAAAGCTCTTAGGAGATGGCATGAGCTGAGCTGTATTTAGTCATAATAGTAACAGATGCAAATTATTGCTCTTATTATAGCCTAGGTATCAGATCATTGGCTCATTTAATCCTCAAGACAATCCTACAAAGCGGTTACCATTCATGAAATGAGATTACAATTTGTTCTCCTTCCAAAATAGAGTACCCCAATTCTCACTGGACACAGGGCTGCCTGCAATAAAGGTTTCATTTCCCAGCTTCTCTTCATGTTAGTTATGGCCACAAAATTAAGTTCTGGCCAAAGAGATTAGGCAGAACCATGTGAAACTTTCAAGAAACATCCTCTAATTTAAGGGACCTGGGCGTGGTGGCACATGCCTGTAATCCCAGCGCTCGAGAACTAGAGGCAGGAGGATCTTGTGAGTTCAAGGTTACATAGTGAGTTCAGGCCCAGCCTGAACTATAAAGTGAGACCCTGCCCCCCCCAATAATAATAATAATGGCAGGCCTTCCTTATTCCTCCTCCCTTATGCTTGTAATACAAAGATTGTGGCAGGTGGAAGCCACAGACAGCAAAATAAAAAAAGCCTTGGTCCGATTGGTCTGATCGTGTTGAGAAGTTCCCTGACCACCCTGGTCTGTTTGAGTCCTTTTGAGAGAAATGCTCTTATATAATCCAGCAAGAAAATGTTGCATTTTCTTTTATTTTTTTTTGGTACCGGGATCGAACTCAGGACCTTGTGTTGCATTTCCTATCATATATAACTGAACTAAAGCCAGAATGATACACTAGAAACTCCATTTCCAGACAGAAAGCTTGCCCAGAGTGAGCACCAGTGTGCCAGAATTCAAACCCACTTCTGATTCAAGTATAGTTTCCAACCCTTACCTAGATGGCTTTAAGAAACACACAGAATTTCGTTAAGGGAAAAGGTAGAGGGAGAAATATCAGCAAAAGCCAAAGCCTAGGAGTAGCAATGGAAAAGGGATGGGCAGGAGGCAGTGCTGGGCAGAGGCTTTGCAGTCCTGTGTTTGGGGCTGTCTCGCGGGCAGTCCATGGCCACCCAGCTGTGGGAAGTCCCTCAAGGGCAGCCTTTGCTGTGCTGCCACTTGCATCCCAGGAGGATGACTCTCTGACAAAGCATAGCCTCTTTCACTCTGGTGTCTTTGTGCCTCAGTTCTGGGTCCTAGGCCTCACGGTCCACCCGACTGTGGGGCTCAGAGTCAAGTAGCCACCAGTCAGACAGGACATCAGCATTCTCTCTGCTGACCCCAGCCTCGTGGTCCCTGTCATGCTGCTCTGGTTCAAGCATGTCAGCAGTCTCTGTACTGAACTATGCATTATTTGCTGGAAGGGGACAAGATCCCTTACAAAGAAACACCTTTTGTATTTCATTTATGGATATGTGCATTCATTCTTTTCTTCATTTAAAAACTTTATAGGAAAATTAAATATATATTTAGACAAGAGTATAATATCAGCTTCAAGATATCTTTTTTTCTGTTTTGTTGCTGCTGTTTTGTTTAGGAGACAGTCTCTCTATGTAGTCCATACTGGCCCTGAACTTGCTATGTAGCCCTGGCTGGCCTCATACTTTTGACTCCCACCTCCAGCTTCGCAAGTGCTGGGATTACTGGCATGCACCACCAATGCCTGGTCAACTTCAAGATATCTCACTTTGTTCAGCCCAGTGTTTCCCAAATGTATTTTACTTCTACTTAAAGAAAATACATGCTAATTAACATTCTAGGAAATGGTGTTTCTTGAACATTTTTAAAAATCGTGGTAAAGTAAATATATTTACCATCTTAAACACTAAGTGTACAGTTCAGTATATTCACACTGCTGTACAATCTCCAGAACTTTTCATCTTGGAAAACTGAAATCCACTAAACATCTCAACCATCTCCTCCTCCCTACAGCCTCTAGCCATTACTATTCTACTCCATTTTTGTGCATTTGATATTCAAAATACTTCATATAAGTGGATTCATCTTTTTGTGACTTATTTTACTCAGCATAATATCCTCAAGCTTTGTCCATGTTGAATCTTATATCTGCATTTCCTTTCTTTTAAAGGCTGGATAATATCCCATTGTACATATATATTGTGTTTGTTAATCTATTCATTTTTCTACCTCCTGGCTATTGTGAATAATATTGCTATGAATATTGTTTGCAATATTTTTTTTTTGGTACCAGGGATTGAACTCAGGACCTCACACTTGGCAGGCAGACACTGTGCCACTGAGCTACATCCCCAGCCCTGCAATATTCTCTTTTTTAATTTAAAAAACTTTTATAGGTAAATTATATATAGATATAAATATATATCTATATATAACAATATATTATATATAATATATTATATATCTTTATATATTATAATTATAAAACTATAGAGAGAGAATATATATAACAGAATAAATATATATATGTAACAGAAAGCCACTGCTGGCTCTCAAGAGCCTGCCTTCTTGGATGTAGTCCTTCTGTCTGGGAATAGCACAAGGATGATCCCTCTAAACTCACTTCCTTAGTCCACCAGCCACTCAACGTGTTTCCTCATCATGAAGACAGGCTAAGTTCAATAAGCTAGAAAACCTGCACAGTTAATAAGGACCCCACCAGCTACAGAGCAGACAGACCCTCAGTCTAACCAGTCTCCCAGTGTACCAAGGCTTTCTGGTGTGTGAGTTGTGGAGGCATAGTTATAAGTATTACACCAAAAAGGATAAAAGCCTCTTCTGGGGGATAGACTCCTAAGGATCATGACCCAACTACATGTGTTACACAACTAGAGGTAGTCACTGAAACAGGAAGTTGTGGTTTATGTTCCAGCAAATTACTAGTTGTGTTGCAGTGTTCTCAAGTTTTAGAGTGCATTACAGTCACTTGGAGTTTATTGCAAAAGATTCCTGGAAACTACCCTGGGATTCTTATTTACTAGGTGTGGCCTGAGGCCTGGGAATTCTGTTGTCCTGTGATGTTCATGCTGCCAGTCTATGTACATTTACACTAGTTGGAACTTGTTAGATATGCAAATTCTCAGGTGTGCACCTTCACACTGAATGCAAACCTCGGGGGATGGCACCTAGCAATCAGCTTTTAACCTGCTTGTCAAGGGAATGATGCACACTGAAGTTTTAACTGCATGAGAGCTGGATGTAGTGGTGCATGTTTGTAATCCCAGAATTCTGGAAGCCTGAGGCAGGGTGACCGCAAGTTTGAGCCCATGCATGCAACTTAGTGCCTTAGGGAGACCGGTGTTTCAAAAGTTTTAAAATGTAAAAATATTTAAAAGGGCTGGAATATAGCTCAGTGCAAAAACTGCTGGGTTCAATCCCCAGCACCACAAAACAAACGAAGAACCTGCATAAGAATATCATATTCTGGGTTTGTAGCATTTACTTCCACCTGGCCTGGTCTGGTGGTGAGATGTAGCACTTGGGCCTCCGTGCTTCACATTCACCGAAGTAGTGGCCCTGGGTGATTATTGGGAAAGACCTTGAGACAAGGATGTAGGGCCCCAAAATGCAGCTTCCTGAGAGGCTGTCAGTTTGGGCAGGTGTGGGTCACTTTTGCTTTTGGAGGTCGGGAGCAGCTATGGAAGGATTTGGGGGCTGTTCCCTGCCATGGTTTTCATGACTCCCTCCCACAGCTGTTGTCGCATAAGGATTTCAGAGAATAGGGAATGATCTCAGCAATCTGATTGCCGCTTACTTTCCAGGAGTTCCATAATCAGCCCGAGATTGGCTGCGACCTTGGCAGAAATCCTGCAGTTGGGAGAAAAAGCATGTCGCCATGTAATCATCAAGTGTAATGCAGGTCCTGGAATCTTGACTAAGGCATTACTTGAAACTGGTGCCTCAGTGATTGTGCTTGAAAGTCACAGAAAGTTTATTCCACATTTGAAGTCCTTAGTCCATTTGAAGCTGAATGGAAAACTAGAAATGATCCATTGTGACTTTTTAAAAATGAATCCTAGCAATCATAATTCAGTGCTTTCACAAGGGAATTTTCCGAGTTTGGGAATAAAAGCAAATTCTTGGTCAAAAGATATTTTAAAATTTTT